TTGCAAAAAATAACTACGTCATTTTTGCCACCATCTATGAATGTTTAACAAATAAATTGTGAACTACATTACTATAGAATTCTTGAGATTCCATACAATTCTTCGAGGATTATGTATTCAATAAGATACTTACTTTTCAAGCATATTTTCTATGAATGTGTAGAAATATTTTCTTGACAATATATTCTCAGTATCGGTACTTCTACGATGTTCTCGTTTGCTTATCTGCAAAATTGAATCAAATACGTTTTATAGAACCGATAAAATCCGAAGTAATATATAACATTAGCAATTTTAGTGTTCATGTGCTATCATCATTGACTATTTCGGTCCTGTATTCAATCTTCGTCTATGCATCAATATTTTTTTCTATATAAGTAATAAACGTAATCGCACGGTGCTGGAAAACTACACTAGCGTATATGAGCTAAAAATTACGCGTGTCGAAGTCGATTTCTAGACTAACTTCTTATTAATAAATCAAACAAAAGAAACGTAGAGGGTCTGTCCCATACAATTTTAAGATTGTTGCATACATATCCAAAAAATGAAAATGGCTATCACTAACAAGCCTGCAGATAGAGAACAAATCTTTGTTTTTAATTTATTTTATTATTAATAATTAACTATTCATTACTTAAGAAGTTATATGGAACATAGTGTAATGGTTGCAGTTACAAACATTGTCTAGAACAAAAAAACTTGGTGATTAAAAAGAGTGGCGGAGAGTTTATTGCCAGTTCTTCTGAAGTCAGAACTGGCAGTAAATCTAAAATTACATATACTTCTTTTTAAGGTTCATAAGTAAATTGTGTTACATTATATGAATAAATTATTTTGACTTTGACTTTGACAAGTAATCTCGTCCTCAAGAATATAGAAAAAGGACAGAACTGGGTTTATCAATAATTTGGTACAAACCTCAACATCACCCAAAAGTGGTTGGTACCACGTAGCATTGTCGACAGTATAGTAGTTTGCTTCGAAGAACCACGCGACACTCACGGTAGCCTCCGTATCTAAAGGCACCGCTACTGTAGCAAATACCTTTAAATATAAAAACAATAAGATATGAGTATAAGACAGGTACGCAGTTTTGATAGATTTATATCCGACTTCATTAACAATGATCGTTATATTTCGATCAATTTACACAAAACAATGTTGAACGCTTAAAGCTTCCTCAAGAATCATACTATCTGTTAAAAACCGTACAAATAGCCGTTTCATGGTGTTGATACTTATCCTTATTAAGGATGTTGATAATGTTGTCATCCTGGTTCTAGTAGATGGGACATATGCACTGAATGGCGGACGACAGAACCCAAAGGTTACTGAAAGTGCTTTATCATGCAGTATCGCAATATTGGCGCTAGAGAGAAGAGGCCTAATGTGTAAAACTGCCATTTTTCTTTTGGAATGGCAAGCAATAAAACATTTCTGTATTTGCAAAAAAAGTTGTAATAATGTTATTACCTTAATGAAATCCTACAATAAGTTTAACTAAAGTAAATACGATATTATTAGACTGTAAGGCGGAACGAAGTTAGCCGAGTCAGCTAGTATTAAATAAACATGACACTTAATTCAATAACACAATTAAGTCAATAAATTTACTGCGACTGAAAGATTGCCCGAGAAGCATTGATCGGTGGAAGACTTTTTAAGGTTGTGATTGGATGGTAAACTTATATAAACCTGTATCTCTTTCTTAGCTTAATTAATGGAAGTGACTGTGAGTACAGTAAGAAGAAACGTAGAAGGAGTTATTTAGGAAAAAATGGATATATACCTATATTTGTATTCTTTATAATAGAAGACAACGATTGTTAAAAACAATTTGGTTTCGTGGAATGTTATTAAATATACAAAAATTTAACTTAGATTTCTGAATTGTATAATATATATTGAGGTCGTAGGTTCGATCCCCGGCTGTGCACCAATGGACTTTCTTTCTATGTGCGCATTTAACATTCGCTCGAACACTAAAGGAAAACATCGGGAGGAAACCGGCTTGCCTTAGACACGAAAAGTAGACGGCGTGGGTCTGGCACGGGAGACTGATTGCCTACTTGCCTATTAGATTAACAAATGATTATGAAACAGATACAGAAATCTGAGGCCCAGAGCTAAAAAGGTTGTAGTGCCGCTGATTATTATTGTATATATTATATAAGTTATTGACTACTCACCCCCCATTGTGTAAAAGGAGTAAATACGAGGTATCTTCTCTGTCTATTGTGTTGCGCTTGCAGTCCTTGCACAGCAACGTTTAAGCTGTAAATTCTGCAAATATATACAATATATACACATAAAGGTAGACAAAATGACAAAAATAAAAGTAAAAAACCGTATATGTACTAAAAATTGAGTATGTTGTCTTTGTCTTTTTAAATTCAGATAAATAATAGCTATATTGTTAGCGTAAAAAAAGGTTACTTTCGTAAAAAAACTAAATTCGAAATTATAGAATTAGCTAAAGTATTCAAAGTATACAGGTATTTAAGAAGCTACATCAATGTTGTTACCTACACAATAAAACAACTAAGAATCCACATATCGCGCGATAATTCGAAACGCCGCCAAGAATTTGACAAACCGTCGCCAAGATTTTGACGAACCGTCGCGTGTGTTTCTTTAGGAAAATTACTGTTATAGCCTATGTCAATCTGGAGTTAGATATTTTACATCACTATTGTACTTTGTGTCTTATGCTTATGTGTTGAGGTTCATTTTCCCTCGCATCAGTCTTAGTTTGAAGCTAGATTTGACGTCTAATGTGAGCTTAGCGGGATCGTGTAGATCATCCCCAATGTGCGACAGGCTTTATTTGGACAAGGAATTTCAGATCCGTTAGGCAAGCTTGTAAAACGGTTTTCACTATTGAAGTATGTATTTAGAGACTTCGAATGTATTTCGTGACGACTTTGTTAGATCGTATGTTGAAGTGAATATTTGATTTCATAGCGGTTAGAAATATGGCGTAGTTATCGCACATTAGCTTGTCTTGGGTTAAATAACATGTTTGCATTGAAGTCTTACGGGAACAAATATAACAGTTATGATCTGATGAAAGCTTTTAACAAAACGAGTCAAGTATCGTTAAATATTCAGCGCTACAGGAATCCCAGTCATAAAAAACTTCGATTATATCAAGTTTTAGCATTTTTGAAGATATACTTCTTTAGGCGCGTTATGAAAAATTGATGAGAGTGAAATTTTACGATGCGCGCACCGTGACACAAAATTAACAGCATTAAGTTTCCCACGAAAGATGCTACGACATTGGACATAATTAAAAAAACAACATTCGAATAATAATAGAATTTATGTTACACTTAATGTAAGAGAATAATAATATAAACTGAACTTTATTGACTATAATGACTCCTTTTCCAGTCTTTGATTATTTAATTGTAACTAATTACTTGCATGCAATCAAAAACTATTTTTAATAATGCCAAAGTATAACTTCTTACGCGCGTACATACTCGTAAAGTACGCGCATCCTTTTTTCATTCCGTAATAGTAACTTTAAACCTATTTAGCAGTTTTTGCGTGAGCTTTATATTAATTTCACATTAGAAGAGGCATAATAATTATGATAAACATTTTAATTATCTAACATAAATGTGCCATAAAATAAATGACTGTATTTTTCATGTCCACATTTTACTTAGTTATCTGGTGTTGTTCAGGAGAAAGGACACCGAAAAATAGCGTCATAAAAAAGACATAAAAAAGCGATATACGGAATTAGAAGTAAATTTGCACAAACATCGAGAATCACGACGAGGAACGTTAAATAGATATTCTTTTTACTTTTTCATGTTATAAGTCTTATTAATTCTCACAACGGTAGTAAATAGCTGTACACTTTGTAATATAGACTTGTGAAGAGGCAAATAAGTAGGTTTTATTATCATTATTTTTATTCAAAACGTTATTGGAGAAGTGTTGGCCTAGTGGCTTCAGCGTGCGATTTTCACCCCTGAGGTCGTAGATTCGATCCCCGGCTATGCACCAATGAACTTTCTGTCTATGTACGCATTTAACATTCGCTCGAACGGTGAAGGAAAACATCGTGAGGAAACCGGCGGTCTTAGACCCAAAAAGTTTACGGCGTGTGTCAGGCACAGAAGGCTGATCACCTACTTGCATATTACATTGCCAATACAGAAATCTGAGGCCCAGACATAAAATGGTTGTAGCGGTTGTGGTTGATGTTATTTTTATTCAAAACTTTTCGTGTATTTTAACAAGATTTTTTGCGACCTCTTCAAAAAACAACACCATTATAATTTATGTACTTTAACCATACAAAATTATACGTATTGAGTGTTAATGAACTGATTTTCAATACATTTACATAGCTAGTTATTTTATAACAACATTGAGCCAATATGTAAGCATTAATTATTTCAAAAGTACATGGTCAGCGCATTGCTGCATTTTGCTAATTTCATATTTAGTTTCTAGCTAATTGCTGGGAGCTACGATGGTCGCTTATATTCAGCATATTTCCACTGCGAAATTATTTAATTTTTAGCTCGTAATGTACAAAATATGTTAAATCACATCGTAAAGATAATAGTTAAATGTAGAGCAGAATGAAAATGTAACTAACATTCCAAAATGTTACAGATTCAGTTTTATTTATAAAAAAGTCTTAAAATAATACTTTGTTGCGGGGATTAAAACACACGACCTCTGCTATTATCGTGTTCATATATAAACAGAATAAATACTGAGTAGTGGAGAAGGATAAAATTGGTGTTATCATAGAATTCTCTCTTCAAAATCAATCAGCACTATCAAAGCATCAGATTGTGAATTTCAGCAAATCTAGTCCACGGGTCATGAACGAGGCGCTCGATCCAAATCGTTGTGAAAACATAACGGTTCATTAGCCCCGAGGCGGAGGCTTTGCACACTGTATATTTTATCTTACACCTTATTCACACACCAGTGCGCTCGACGTACGCCCAATCACAAGTAAAATGTTAAAAAAGTTGCTTATTATCAATTTTCTAGCCGTGTTATGCGACGCGTCGCGCCAAAGAAGATACTTGGTTTATCCAGACGGAGGACCCGCCAGGGCTCAGGTATTCCCCTTTTTCGTGTAAATTTACATTTCGATTTAAAGTTAAGTAAATGATGTTTTCTTTTACCGGATCCGGCTTAACGAAGCACTGTTTTTTATTCGTGAATTCAAATGCAATTATCTGGGACGCTCTCGGCCCGCTTTGCTTAAGTTAATTTTTTATTTAGCTCCAATATTTTTTTTAACAATCCCATTGGATGTCTAAGAGCTTTTAGTGCTTTGAATCGTGATGTCTGATTACTTAATATTAAACACGTTGATATTTAATTAAGATAATTTTGTTGGAATGATCGTAAGATAATTGTTCAAAGAATGTTCGATGTCTACATTAAAACATCGTTAATTTTGACTGTCTGCGAAAGTTGTCTTATTCAGTCGGGCGTAAAATATTATAACAAACCAAGCTCCTTTGGAATAATACAGCAATTTATATGAGAGTAAATACTTTACAGTGTTTCTCAGAAAGTCCGATATTACTTTTCGTTATTGTTTGAGGTCGTTTCCTTAATTTTTAATTAAATTGACGTTTGCTTTTTTGCTTTTCATTCCTGTCGAGCACAAAGTCTGTAAAATTCAAAGGTATTTGCTTTGTTCACAAAATTCAATTATATAGTATGAGTTTTGTTTTAGGATTAAAAAATACGCGGTTATGGTTGAAGTTCAAATAAAATAACTATTTAAATCTTATTGTAGACGATATTTACATAAAGAATGCCAACAAATTTAAAGATTTGACGAAATATTTAAAAAGAAACTGTTTACTTTATTACATATATTCCATATTAGGCATATACTTAACGGAATTATACATACGTACGTACACAATCCAGTAAAAAAGAATCTATCCTTATTAAGCATACCATTGAAGGTAAATCATAAGCCTAACTTGTTTTATTCAACACATTGTAATAGTTAATTAAGTAGGAAAACGCAAGAAATGGCGAGAAAAGGTGATTCTATTTGATTAGTTCCCGAAAGCGGGATTTAGTGGATCGGAATGATTTAGGTATCCACTGTAATCATGTAAGCGTGATTAAGCACGACTAAGGCCAAGGAATTAATACTAGTAATTCTCCACTAATAATAGTTATCGACTTAAGCTTTGACTTTGTCTTAATTACTGGCTATTTAATCTTTAGAAAATTATTTTACAACACTATACAGTTTTGTGCAAAATCTTAAAATAATATTAATATTTTTTCTGTATTTATTGAGAATGTGAGACCTTCGGATTGCATGGAATAAAAATGTCTAAAGATCGATGACAGATTCTTCAATCAAACTGAACATTATATTCATTATTATTATAAAAGCATTATCAAACATACCCATTTCTTCTTTTTACAGTTGATTGTAGGTCTCGGTGTACCTGTTGACTTAAAAGAAGCGTCAGTTACAGTTGGTACCGTAATAAAATTTCAATATGATTTACCGACAAACAGCTCAGAATATACGAGTCGCATATATGGATTTGCTGATACTGTATCGAGAGACATGGATGCTGATGAAAAAGAAGAAGTAAAACAAGAAAAAAATGATGGTAGAGAAATATCTGAGAATGATTTAAATGATGATAATGATACACTGGTAGATATTACTTTCAACGATAGGCGACGGAGAGCTCTTCTATATAGCGAAGGAAATGTAATTAAGGATAATGATATGAAAACGGAACTTCCCTTAGATGAAGCTATAAAGAGACAAGAGTTAATTGATCAACATAACCTTCAAGACGAAGAACCGCAGAGGATGAACAGATGGGATCTGTATAAAATTATTGAGCATATGATAGCAAGGTAGTAATACTATTTCTATTTAATTACGTAATTTGAAGTGCGTAATTCAGTTCTGCAGAAACTCTTCAATTGCAGAAGTCTTACTCAAAATTACAACTAAGGGGCCCCTAGCTATTGTTAGCAGTTTGAAAAAATAATAAATAATATTTTAAGTAGGTATTCTATTTGACCTTGAAAATCATGAAAGTAAAGATCTTGACAGTAGATTTTGTTATTGTAAGGATTTTCGCTCGCATGGTATTCAAATATATTCTGAACTATAATTTTGTACATAGTTGTTTCAAGTTCTCAAGTTGTTCATTTATTCGAACTTGGCAAAGTCCGAGTACTGTTTAATATTTTGTGTACATTGTTCGTCAAGTTGGGCTCTGGAGCGGTTGACAAACAATTTTAACTTACTCCAACAGAAAGCGTTAAGATTCTTACTACATATTTTGCAGTTAGGTATTTATAACAGCTTTGCAATGTTATTTTTAAACGTAGTTTTTTTGACGTAGACTTTAAGTTTAACCTTCTTAAAGTCTAACTCAAAGTTGGGGAACATACTTTTGTTTTTTAATATATTTTTAGTAAGAGAACATTCACACTTATGGTATTTAATAATAGTTGCTAATCTGCTTTGCTCAAAACGATTGGCCGTCTTGAATCTTACATGTGGTGTCAACGTGTAGGTGGCTTGCGTGTTTGTATTTGTTGCCGCATTTCAATGCCATATACATGTTGAATGTGAAATGATCATGAAAATATAGAATCATTAGACGCGAATCTTATTCATATTATATGTTTTGACACATTATGCTAAATCTCCTGATCGGCTTAGTCTTAAGTGCTTACAGAGAGGCGCATAAATAATCTGTATAATATTATCAGAGCAAAATTGTCATTTTTTTATAGGACATGGAGGCAAACATGCTCATCTGATTTTAAGTGATACTGCCGCCCATGGACACTCAAATTGCCAGAGGCTCGCAAATGTGTTGCCGGCCTTTTAAGAAATGGTACGCTCTTTCCTTGAAGGACCCTAAGTCGAATTGGTTCAGAAATACTTTAGAGGGATTGTCAGGGTTTATGAATTGAACTGATATAGAATCAATTTACTTAACCCATCCTAAAATGTCAGTTTGAAGAATTAAACTACCTAAAATAGATGATGGATATAATTAAAGTGACAAAACATATAATCTGTTTTTATATTTCTCAGCTGCATTAAAAACACCATCCATTTGCTCATACAATTACAACTTCGTCACGTTTTTTTACTAGAATATTGGTACATAGTTATTAATTGTTTCTCATATAATATTCTGTTTCGATACATAATTTTAGAAATGAATTAAAATGCAATTTGAAAAACATCGAAGTCCTCAAAGCCCCTTGATATTTGATAATGCAAACTAAGAGCCCTATTAATTTTCAGATACGGCTATTCAGGTAGGCCATGCTTGCTGCGAACCATATGTGAGGCGGCGGAGGTGCCTTTTACCTATGAAAACGGTTTGCTCGGCGAAATTGGCCATATTTTATTCACGTAAGTAGCTAACTCGGAATAACCGAATTTTCTTTAGCGCTAGTAGGGTTGTCACATACCAAATTGTTCAACTGAATTTTAATTAAAGGATTGTATATAAGAATCAAAGAACTAATTCTAAAAATCTTGGACAGACCGAATACGAAACACAACCGTCCTGGACAGAATGCAGAAAAACAAACAAGTGCTTACGACCGTTAAGAAAAGGAAACTTGAGTATTTCGGACACGTTTTACGTTACACCAAAAATTACGAGCCCCTTCAACTAATCATACAAGGCAGTAGAAGTGGCAGGTAGAAGGAGACCTGGCTGCAGACGCACGACTTGGTTGAAAAACTTAAGAATGTATAAGAAACAAGGAACTAATTCTTCTTTATTTCAATGAATTATTACGAGTAATATGGATTTATAAATTACACACAGAAGTTAATTCTTGTATTAAGTTTAATACAATAAAGATTATAGACGGGAATAGCATTACTATATTTGATATGACACTTCATATATTTTAAAAGCGATATATATATTCCATTCTCACAACCCTAATCGTAAGCTATGACGCTGAATTTTGAGAGAGTAGGTAATGAACAAAGCTGTATTAAAACTTGTACGTAAATATTTTATAGCGATGAAAAATTAAGGATCATCTTCTAGTGTTCAGAATTTTGGAATATCCACTTTTTATTACTATGAACCAGATATAACGTAAAACAAAATTAACAAAAATGTTTTATTACACTTAACTAAATTTAAACAATTAATTATAGCTATATATATTTTATAATGGAGTTATCATTGTCTGCTTTTATTAATCTATATAGTCACGGATCCACTTAATTAATGTTTAATAATCATATTTCATTCGTCTTTTTAGTAAATAAGTTGTAAATTTTTTTGACGTCCGAAAAGTTTAGTTTACGCGACTTTAATTAAGTTTGTAAAAAGCACAATAGTTTTAAACATGCGAAGGAAAATGTATAATTTAAAAAATAACTGCAGAAAACAACGCCCATGGACAACCATTTTGTTAAGGGATTAAGTACCCTATTTTTTATATATTAATTATATAAAAAAATATGGTACTTAATATCAATTTAACGTAAATTTCATATAATTCCAGACCATCAAGTACCAAGGATACTCTATCCCATCACACAGATAACGAGTACCATGCAGCAGAGAGACTCGGTCGATCTATAAGAGATGTGGGGAACTGTGAGAGCTTGTTCCCTGAGTGTGAATCTTCTGTCTTGGACACTTTCACAGAAATCGGAATGGACACACTGCATAAATTTGGCCTGTATTAATAAAAATTATAAGAAAAACCTGTGTTTTACCTCATAATAATGCAGTCGTTAATCAAAAGTCAAAAATAATTTATTTATATAGGTAACACAATTTTCACTTATGAACGTCAAAAAAGAAATATAAATTGAATGCTTCTAATTTTATATTTACTAGTTCTCAAATCAAGGGCGTAGAACGGAACAGAAGAACTGGCAATAAACTCTCCGCCACTCTTTTCAATCGTCAAGTTTTTTATTTTTTACAACGTTTGTAAGGGAGCTGCAATCATTACACGATGTTCCACATGACATCTTAAGTAACAAATAACAACAAAACAAATCAAAAACAAAGACTTGTACTCTATCTTAGTGGCATGGTGAAATAGAAGCACGCACTTACATTCTCGTGGGAACAACACGCAAATTCATGGTCGAAATAACTAACATGGCCATGGCAATGGCCTAAGACACTAAAAACACCGTCTCAATTCTTCTTCCTTAGATTTCTGTGTTATTTATTTCTTCTGTTTGTTAGGCAAGTAATCAGTCTTTTGTGTCACCAAAAATCTATGGATGCGCGTTATTAGAACACATGACATCATTGTACTAAATATTTACTAAAAAATAAATTCATTCTCGCGTCATTGAAATTCTATTTAAAATAAGATTTTTAAAATAAATTAATCAATAATAAAAATTTGTTTAGACGTGGTCAATGAAGGTATTTTTCTCTATAACGTTTTTAAAGGTACGTGCGATAAAATCAGTGACGTATACGTAATAATTGATCATTTGAATAATTAATTTTATTACGTTAAAGTACAATAAAAGATTCATAAATAATTTTATGTGAGCTAACACTTTCATCAAACTGCAAGACTTAATAACAATAAATCAGGGGCGCTATAACCTTTTTGTAGGTCTGAGCCTCAGATTTCTGAATCTGTTTCATGATCATTTGACAATCTATTAGGCAAGTAGTTGATCAGCCTCCTGTGATTGACACACGCCGTTTTTTTGGGTCTAAGGCAGCCGGTTTAATCACGATGTTTTCCTTCACCGTTCGAGCGATTGTTAGAGCACATAGAAAGAAAGTCCATTGGTGCGCAGCCGGGGATCGAACCTACGACCTTAGGGATGAGAGTCGCACGCTGAAGCCACTAGGCCAACACTGCTGTACCCTTATATTTAAATAATAATTCTAAAATAAAAAATACTCAGTCTTCATGTACTTTACTAAACATATCAATCAACGATATAGGACAATTGTGATTCAAACAGTTTTCACCTAGTTTCCCGTCATTGTAGGCTTTGATATATGGCGCGGATTCTTCTTCCTCTGTCTCAGCTATGTCATTTTCCGGACTGAAAAATTATTTTATTCATTAGAAAACTCTTTTTATATAACTTTTTATTTAAAAATTTAATTTTCAGTAAGATATGACCTAAACAGTTTATTTATCAAATAATTAAATATTTTTATCATAATTATTGAAATATAATATTATCAATCTGTTTCTCGTAATTTTGTACCTGTTTGGATGGCTTAAAAATGGCTTTTGTTTCTATATATTTGATATCTAGCCGCAACGCAATTCTCATGTTACGAAACATATTCAATGAACAAATCAGTAAATTTTATATTAATTCCATTTATCTAAAAAAAACAAAACTCTGCTAGTGCCTGTAGATGCAACCAAGACAACGTTATGTTTGATATTTTTTAGAAATTAAGGACGCCATTTACTCTTTCCGCACAGAGCAGAAATATGTTATTAAGTTACTTATATCTATATATAAAAGTCTCGTGTCACAATGTTCGTTCCAATTCTCCTTCGAAACGGCTCGACCAATTCTTATGATTTTTTTATGCATATTCAGTAAGTATGGGAATCGGCTACTATCTATCTTTTACACTCCAAAGTGATAAGGGGTGTCAACCCCAAATTTTGTTTTTTTTTGCTTTTTTATGATACAGCATACAAAAATACATACAAACCTTAATTTTCATCTCCCCTCTACGATAAACCCCTTTATTTTTTATTTGTTAGTTAAGAACTTATAACTTGAACTCTGAGGTTATTATGGAGAAAAATCACAGAAAAACCTAAAAAGGTAGCATAGCAAAATGTTCCATGTTGATATGTACTAAAAAGGTAGGCTAAGTAAAATCACATTAACGAGAAACGAAGTTCGCGGGGGCAGCTAGTTTTTTATGAAGCTGGTGGCTACCTAAATAAATTTTGTTTTTATTGCTTTTTATATTAAGCGTCAATCTTCCAGAGACGTTTGCACTTAAAGGGTGCAAAGACGTATACTATTTTGAGTCTGGTATTTGAATCTTACCGTTACCGTCTTAAATAAAGGCTTTCTTGTGAATTGAGCAATTTTTTGCCCTGGAGACATGCGTTTGAAATCTGGCTGCACCGGTATTTCCGTCTATTTAACACTCACTTGTAAGGCCAAAAGACTCGTTAGAATAAGATATATCAACTTACTTGAGCACAAACGCAGCGAGCTCATATAGCAGGTCTTCTTCATGATAGGAGTGCAAAGGTTCAGTTCCCAGTTGACACAATGTTTTTAGTACGCAGGCTGTGCCATTATAACTAAAACTATAACAATATATACTTATAAACATTTTGGTTATATGATGATTTTTATTATCTATGTAATCGTTTTTGGTTTCACCAAGGGAATGGTTCTTTCAGGTAGGCGATGATTATATTAAAATTACAATTATAATCAAAATGTCTAAGTTAAGGAAATAGAGGCACACACTTCCAAGTTTTCGTTGAAATGTAAAGGTTGCTCATCTTTGTCGACTGTTGACTAAAGCTGCTGTTTTTGTTTACTATAAAATAACTGGCATAATTTTTTGGCCTATTCTCTCTAGGTTATATACCTATCTATGCAAAGGCATGCATTTTTCATATTACATATGTAAAGAAATAATTGTATTTCTTAGATTACACTATTGTTAATTTGCTTGTTAGTCTTTGAAAAAGACGATAGTTTTGGCGTGTCGTTGGCGTTTAAATTTTAATTTGAAGATTTTTTGTTTGAACATTTTGTATTATAATAGAAAAAGAATAAAAGTGATTATTTTTAAGTAAAATAACAAACTCTAAATGTTGTTTCTTAAAATACATATTACAGCTACATATTTGAGTTTCATTCAGCATATTCATATTTTTTTTAAGTAAAATGAATACGAACAGGTCCAATTACAGGGTGACACAGCATGCGGTAAATAAGAAACATCAAATCTTTCCACGCATCCCGGCACCGACCACATTACAGCATCCATGCCAAGCATAATCTATATATCTATCGCTACCAATTTGTAAATAATCGTGTGATAAACGACTTTTAGAAATCAACTATAAAAACTAGCCTTTGTCGTCCATAAATTAAACTCGTGTCATCGGAGATAATTAAAAAAAATCGAATATTGGATTACGCCGAGGAAATGACTTGTACACTATAATTTGTTTGACCGTCTCTTTTGAATGCGTAAACGTGGCACCCATTGGGCAAACACTGATAAATTATAATGAATGACATCGTCAAAATGGAAATTGTCGAAACCAATTTATCTGAAAATTGTTTCCTGCAGGACGTATCGGATTGTCAGAATGTAATAAATCAGTGTTGATAACTTTTCGCCGCTTTTTCAAACGCCAAAAATATTGTTCCGAACATTTGACTAAACATTGTTAATCATATTTCGAGAGCTTCTGAACATCGAGTATTCATCAGAGATTATTTGTGTAAAGAATAGTATTTCAATATTACACTAAATAAATTGCTTTGTTAACTAAGCAAACATAAATGCAAAATCAAGTTTTAGTCTACTTCATATAAGTTATCGATGTATTGTGACATATAAATGCTTCATCAAGTATTAAGTGATGCACTGAATAACTATACTTAATCTGCCTCAAGATAAAAGGATAGTTTAATACAAGATTCGTTGAACTAACAATATAGTATGTAATTTTTATGTCAAACTTTCGGAAGTGTTAACAACTATTTTAAGTTATATTGAATTTTAAATATGGTTCGAAGTTCACGCTGTATAGGATTGCAACTAGTTATTTTTTTTAAAATAACAATAGGCAAACGCGCAGGAGGCTCACCGTTAAGTGATACCACCGCCCATGGACACTCACATTGCCAGGAGGCTCCAAATGTGTTGCCGGAATTTTAAGAAATGGTACGCTCTTTTCTTGAAGGACACTAAGTCAAATTGGTTCGGAAATTCTTCAGTAGGCAGCTGGTTCCACATAGTGGTGGTGCACGGCAAAAATTCGACTATAAAAGCATAATAAACTTACCCGGTTAAAACATCTTCGACATATTTATAAAAATGGTACAGTTTAGCATCACTCTCGTAGCCATCACGTTCCTTCCTAGAGGAGCCCACATAAGCGTTGTTTGCCTCCAATATATCTATAGGTATCTGACTACGATTCCAGGGTAACTGAAAGTTCGCCTGAAAGGCCCAATTTACGTTGATGGTCTTTATCGGCGTAGGTGTTCCAACCCCAGCGTTGAGCTGAAAATATTTTACAGAATTATACACTTTAACCTCTAGGTAGAAGGCTTAAAGTTCTCTGGATGAATTTTGGTTCGTGACACTACATACGAGCGTGTCTCGAGTGCAGTTTGTTCAGAGGTTGATACAAAATGTTCCACATCGAAGGTAAATTCGATCAAGGAAGCGAAACACATCCTTTGAGGAGCTAAAGTGTTTATAAAATAGACGAGACGTTATAGAAGGACAGTGTGTTGGGTTAATATTCAATTATTAACGAAAGATTTTAAGTTCAACTTTTTAAAACAAATATGAAATAACTAAGAATGTTGTTATTTTCTGAAATAATGGATGAAGGTTGTTGAAATAAGTTCATGTTTGTTTAAAAAACATCAATTAGTTGAGTCTTTTCAAATGTATGTTTTAGTAATATTTATATAACATTATAAATTAATTCGCCCTCTCTCGGCCAGGCCCTTGATTCAATTACCGGTGATTTAATTATTGTTTTATGGTTGGTAAGCTTAGAAGATTAATTTTTGAGGATAAAGAACTTAGCATTTTAAATAAAAGCAATTTAAATATCAAAGAAACAGGCACTTGAAAGTGTATATATTAGGTGTTCTTCCTAAGTGTATTATAAGATAGTTATTTAAATTTGTAACTAACCTGAAGAACTGAAGAGTTTGGATATAGCAGCTGACGGCGGCTTCTACTTAACACGTCTTCATCATAACCCACTTTAATACTATTAATGGAAACAATTAATAATAAACTGACTAAAACATTTATGGCGATGATATTCAGAACGTTTTTTAATTCCATAATTCATATAAAGTTAAAAGCTTTCACTGAAAATATTAAAATAAATTTATTTAAATGTCGAGTACTTAAAAAGAATTGAATGTAATTAGCATATTCCTGTATATAGTTCGTGATTATAATTGGTCACTTAAGTATTTTTTAGAAAAACAGTTCAACAACTGACGAATCTTTCACGATTTGTTAGAATGGAAAATCCACTTTGCATGATAGTGTAAACTACTCTAATATGTCGTACAGGTTAACAAACTCAAATCTCACGATTTTAGTTTGTTGATATAGAAATTAGTGCAAGGGACATAGGCTATGATCATAAAGATTCGAGTAAATGTTTATTTATTTTCTAATTTTAAGAGGAAAAAAGGTGTGATTTTTGTCATTACTGGTGGCGAAAAATTTTGAAACGTGTTTTTGGATAAATATATATAATTTTCATTTGGGTAGGTTTGGTTGATAATTTTGGTTGATAAAAAAGAGTTATGGTCAGATATGATATTGAACTAGTTAATTTCGTAAAATAGGGAGAAAATTTACGTGGCACATACTATATTCTGTAATAACAAAAAACCAAAGTTCGAAATATTACCAAGAGATGTTTAAGCAATGTTAAAAACATTTTGGATTTATTGATAGCTTGCCAACATTTATCACACATCTATTAAAACAAAATTATAAATAGGAAAATTATGAATACTCTTTAATTATTATAAGAAAATCCTCATTATAAATTATCAGACTACAGAGTGTGAGAGAAGCGACTGGCTGGGCTCAATAGATGTCATGGAATCTTCTTGATATGAAAATCTTAAATGAGATTAAGTTTAATAGCCTTTAAGAGAAAACGTTTATCTGTATTGCTTAGCTAGTAATAACTAAATTTACTTGTGTCCTTACATATGAAATTGGCGTTATGTATGGGAGAAAGAAAAAGGAGATTTTTTTTAAATAGAACCTATTTTATTAATGAAAGTATTCCAATATATGCAGAATATCCATCTTATAGGTTGATTGATCCCTTTTAAAAAAGCATTCGGATGGGAATAATACTAAATACTTATTATAAATATTAAATAAAATCTTGTTAAGTTTCGGTTTTCATTATCGGTAGCTAATCAAACATCTTATAATAAATAATTGAACTTTTTTGTTAATGTACATTTAAGTATTTCCGAACCATTTCGACTTAGGTTCCTTCAATAAAAGAGCGTACCAATTCTTAAAAGTCTGGGAACACAGTTGTGAGCTTTCTGGCAATGTGTGGCGACGGTATCACGAAACTTAACATCAAGTGAGCTTCCTACCCGTTTGCCTCCTGTAAAATAAAAAATATTATACTTATAATATACGTACGATATGATTGGTAAAATCATATTATTATTAGCTCTTACAGATAATACAATTGTATATAAAGTATCATATAAAATTGTATCAGTAGATGGAACACCGTAATTAGAAAAGTTATCTATTAACTATTCTATACCAGAAACTCGACCTGAATTCTAGTTGCAAAACCTTTTGAATTCCACGAAAAAACGATATTAAATTTTGTGACTTAATTCAAGTTTTCTTAATTATAAAGTTGTAAAAGCGTTGTAATGAGGTATGAGAGAAAGAAACCGGGGAGATTGGAAGCAAACGCTCTAAGCTATAACTGAAGAAATCTATTTAAGGTATATAAACTTTTTTCGTTGAATTAACTGGGTGATTTATTAATCTGGCAACATTATACGTGAGTATAATAGGTTATATTTTTATCTTACGATGGAACTGCACATCAATAACATTAGAACATAAGCAAGTTAACAAGGGTAAACATTAAAAAAGCAACCACAAAATTAAAAATTAAAAGTAATAATAATAATAACGAAAAAAAATCATAACTAAATTAAATATAAACTTAATCCTCGTTAAGAGCACGATAAACAACGTTACGGTAAGGTGGAAGATTGTTGTAAAATATATTAATATTTTCAATGCTAGTATTTAATTTATTTGTTAAGTGGTCCGATATTTTCGTTGTCATATTAAAATAATACTAAATTATGAAATCAAGTAAAAAAAATTCACACTGTTTAATTGATCGTTTTACAAGATTCAACGGTCTGTTCGATAATTGATCTTTCACCTAAATAAAACCTTAATAAAACTCTAATCAAACATACAATATGTTTGATTAGAGTTTTATTTATATGTGTTATAACCACTAAGTCACATAATATGACCTTATAACGAATTGAAATAAGATTTTGAATAAGAAGATAAGAAATTGAAATAATGCTTAGGTTTTAAACTTCATGTGACGAAACAATTATTCCTTCGCTGGTTGTCGAGTTATGCGTGTATTTTTAGCTCTAAGTGATATTATGAGTGAAATAATTATGATTATAATAAAGTTTTAAAAAATACACTTAAAGCCAAGTACATAACATTGTTTACATACAATGTTTTGTCTCCGGCGCAGAATTCACCCGTACCGGCATTTATGAGTTAGTTCTACACGTGTGAACAAGTCGTGTATTTGGTAGAAATCATTGAAATAATAAAACATGAAAAGGTACGTATTACTTTAAATTTAATTCATCAAATTGAATACACAAATCTTAACGCGCATAGCATCCGGACGACAACACCTAATTGGACAATTATTTTTATGTAAATAGTTAAAAACGAACAGATTGTATTTAGGTAAATAATGCCATGAAATAATTATCCATAGCGAAAGGGTACATAACGAAAATTAATAGCAGGTCACAGCTTATATATTATTAGGTATAATATATTTAATAAAATAAATAGTACAGCCCCCATTGCTGGTGCTTTCTTCAATCATCAAATAAGTATCGCAATACAAAGAGGAAATGCTGCCAGCGTTAAAGGTACACTGTCACAGGGACCAAAATTTGTTTTTTATTTTTTATTTATAATTGTTATATTAATAATTAAATATAGTGCCTCTTTCCAGTTATTCATTGATATTTGTAATTGTAATACTTGGGATTATGGCAGACGAAGAAAGCGAAGATAGAACGAAGCGACAAATAAACGCGTTACCTCTAATATATCCATATGGAGCGATTTATAAGGTAATTTTATTATTCTTATGACAACAACATCACTTATGTATAATATTATTCTGAATAATTCTATATATGAAACTTACCTACCTTTTCATAATTACTCATGGTTCGGTGTACAATATGTTCCCTAAAATAATAAATAATCAAATATACAGTATTTACTATTATTATTTATGTAATAATAAAAAAATAAGAAAAAAAAAAAATAAACAAATTTAAAAAGTTTGGTCCCTGTGGCAGTGTATAATGTAACCTTTTACGCTGGCAGCATTTCCAAACATAAATAATAAATAATGTATTTAATTAAATTGGAGTACTACGAGTATAATTGATACTTCAGTGTTTATTAATTATTTTTTAAAATAAAAATCTGTGCTTACCGACTAGAATTAAGTTTCACTAAGCCCGGACCACCGTATATTAGGCCACTATTTATGGTAGCAATAATTTAATCTCTGTCGATTTCTCTAGTTTGATAACATTTTAAATTTTACAGCTAATCATTGGGATGACTTCACCAATACCTACCAAGGATCACGTAAACTTAGCTTTCATTCTGAATTTTCAATACCAGTACATGCAGTTTCAAAATATTTCCCAGCTCTCTCAATACTATATAATAAAGGATGTATCGAGAGAAGAAAGAGAAGCAGACTGGGCTTCGAGATATGATGAACGACTTGTGTTTTATAACTCTTTTGCTGATATGTTAGATGTGTAAGTAATGTTTTTGTCACACAGTTTGATCCGGAAGGAGGGCTTGAACTGGTTTGGGTATATGTATTCTAATTTAGACGATCGGTATAGACTGCAGTGCTTGAATTATAATATCCCATTGAATCGTATTTGATGCTAAAGTAAGTAAACAAAAATGTATATAGTATATTTTAAGTTTGATTAAAAAAACAGAGGTGCTAAATCATTTTAAGGCCTCCGATTTATGTATCTGCCTTGCGATTCTGTAACATTTGGCATTCTGATAAACAATAAACTACAAGCATTTGGCATTCTGATAAGGAGGGACCTTATCAGAATGCCAAATCATAAACCGCTGTGTGAGTTTGAAAAGTGAGTTACAGAATCGCAAGGCTGTTTCGAGATCATTTGTTTTTTCTAATAGACAAGTAGGGGATCAGGCTTCTGTGCCTGATACACTTCGTCAAGTTTTTGGATTCAAGGCAAGGCGGTTTTCTCACGATTTCCCTTCACCGTATGAGCGCGAGTGTTGAATGCGCAATGGTCAGAACATTCCGTTGGTGCACAGCTGAGGTTCGAACCTACGATATTTCGATAGTTCATTCGTGTGAGCAAGTAAAACATTTTATAAAGGTTTTTTTTTAATATAGAACTTAAATTACTTTTTAAATTATATACTTAAACTAGGTTTAATATTTTGCTCCAGTTATGAGGAGTATTCGAGGTTTCATAGAAACTGAGTTAAATCCAGAAATGAATATAAATTATCCTATTCGTTGCGGTCGAGCCGGCGGTTTACCATACGTAATGGGTCTCTTGAGAAATTTCCTAAATTTTGCGGAAAATCGAAAATCAAAAAGCGATTGCAACACGGGTAATTTATCGCAGTGAAAATTATTCTATTTCGATATGTCTGCACTTTATATCTTTTAATTTAAATTTATAAATTACCACCTTCTTAATTTAAAATGGCAACGGGTTTTCATGAGTTATTGATTTCTGACAAAATAACAATTGTTTCCGGTTACAAAGCGGAGAGGGCTACCTATCAAAAATTTCATTGAGTCAGACACAGAAATGTATGCGTCATGCCTCGTAGGGTTGCAGGATTTTAAAAAAATACACTTTGTAAGGAAGTTGGTATACATTACATTACATTAAACAGCTCACAATTGATGCAGTTCAAATGCATTAATTCAAGAGTTTTCCTCAGTAAAGTATTTTCAAGTATAAAATGTTTCTAGGAAAGGAATGAGTGGCCAGGATTGTGTACACCGTGCAATTTGCGAAGCTGCCCAGTTCCCAGTAGGCGAAGATGGTCTATTTGGTGAAATCATTCACGTGTTACTCACGTATGTATTTAAAAATATTGTTCTTTGAATTTTAAATTGAGAGGGCTTATTGTAATATAATAAATCTGAGATTGTTTGAAAAGTTTTTTTCGGGGGATTATAGATCTGATTTTATAAATTTGCATAAACGTGAAGAGTAAATTATAATTATTATTAAGAATTATGTATTAGCGGAATAATTATTATGGATTAAATAACTAATTATTAAGCTTTACAATTTTTAACAAATTTCTGTTTATTAGAAATAATATAAATTTATATACAATAGAAAACAAACACTAACGTTTTCTTTATTTAAGTTACTGTAACTATTTATTAAATTAACTGTAATTAATTAGATGCAATTCACTATTTAAATCAAAATTTTTAGTAAGCCTTCTAGAAGGCTTCCTCCAGTTCTTTCTAGTGCTTTCTGTCCAACGTTACCCTGCATTACCTCAGACCTGAGGTTACCTTGAAATCTGAAACCCAATAGGGCAGAGGGCATCAATTTCTTTTAGCTTAAGGTTTAGTTATCGGTTGATGATGAGGTACTATTTTCAGGCCAGATTACGGAAAAAAATTATTTGAAGAAGATTCCACCTGGAAAGATGATATGTCTTCTTATATAGACGCGGCCACAGCTGGAAGACAGATGTTTGAATGCGCGTACATATACAACAAGTGTCCTGAAGGCAGTGGGGTTTTAGATCTGATATCAATACTGACAGATGGATAAAGTAATAAATAAAAAACATAGAAAAATAAACTTTGTTTAAATTAGAATACTGATTTTCTGTATATGAACAGCTAAAAACTCACTCTGTTATAAATAGTTATTTTAAGTCATTGTGTGGTTTCGCAACTTTACAATATTTGATTTGGTTCAGCTCTCTCTTTCCATCATAGCTTAAAGTACAATTTGACCGAAAGAGAAAAAAGTGTACAATTTGTTGTGTTCAGACAAATTACTAGTCTTAGGAGGCTTTAAACTTGTCAGTATTACTTTTATTCATTTGAAGGTCCTTGTTTTTTCTATGCAAACTCCTTTTTAAACAGAGTACATAGAACATAGAGCTGACTGATATTAGGTTTTATTTAAACAAAATCATCAGTCCCTATCTCATGGCAACATACTTATAACTGTCCTAACCTTTTTAACCCTATTACAGTAATTGGAGTAATTATATATTATTGTTATAGTAACCTTTAACTTGTATTGTATAATGTTATTGTTATTATATTGGACATTTGTTAAATTTATGTCATCACTGTATAATTTATAACAATAAAAAAAATAAAAAAAGGGTTCGTGTACTTATGTACGCGCGTAAGAAGTTATACTTCTTTGGCATAATTAAAAATAGTTTTTGTTTGCATGCAAATAATTAATTACAATTAAATAATCAAAGACTAAGAAAGAATAGGAAAAGGAGTCATTATAGTCAATAAAGTTCAGTTTACATTTGAAAAATTAAATAAACAAATATTTATTATTATTCTCTTACAATGACGTAGCATCTTCCGTGGGCAACTTAATTCTGTTAATTTTGTGTCACGGTGCGCGCGCATCGAAAAATTTCACTCTCATCAATTTTTCATAACGCGCCTAAAGAAGTATAACTTTAAAAATAAAACTTGTGTTGTAACAATTTAAAACTTAGGATTTTTTTATATGTAACAAGCTACAAAGATGCAAGGAACGAAACCTTCCTTGTGTGTAACATTATTGTTTATAAGCTCATAAGCTTATAAGCTCATACGAAACACAAATTCGAATATAAAAAAACTCATGGCAACGCACAATGCACTTTACAAAGCTTTTAATGAATTAGTGCAGACTAAATCAATTATTGCACATTGTTCATGGAAATATACTTAAAGTAAACATTACCAATTAATTGAAATATATTTTATTGCGTTATCAGCTTAACGATAGATAATTGAAAAACAATTTTTTAATAACAGTGTTATGCGATCTGCAATATCTGTTATTGTAAATTTTTTGAGTTGTTATTATAGATTCGCCAACTTTTTGCTTGATTTAAGTGACTGGTTGTACTTAGTAAAGAATTCATTAAAACCCTTTAACACTAATTAGTTTTAATGAAAGTTAAAAGTTCGTTTGTTCAAAACAGACGGATTTTGAACTTTGGTTCAGTTAGAATTGGGTTTTTTATAAATTATTTTTATATTTAAGATGTTACGTATAACATTGAGTGTGATGATACTATATACAGATGTCACGTTTTTGCGTCTGTTTTCTTGATATGCGAGCAGCGACTTTCTGTCTATGTACGAATTTAACACTGGCTCGTAGGGTAGGAAAAACTTTGTGACGAAACCAGCATGCCTTATACACAAAAAGTCGACGGCGTGTGAGGTACGGAATACCTGACACACGCCGTCAAGGCTATTAAGGCGTTTCATTTTTTGTTTAATATGGGACGTAGGTGTGAAGGAGAGGTCAAACCTAAAGACTTGTTTTATCGAAATCAAGTTAAGCTAACGAGATTCCCAATCTGTTTCTACGTTTGTTTAAGATCAAAAGTGTCCCTTATTTACCGACCATAATGAAACTATTTTTTCGATCGCAACTTATTATTTTATTACAAATTAATGTTAAGGAAAAAAAATAAGGACTCAAGCACGGACATATAGGAAATATATAAAACCAGTTTACTATTAACCTTTTATTACATTATTATTATTTTAAAGGTCTGTATAAGGCGATATATCTAGAAAAGAGAAAGGACAGGAGTTAATGGAGGAAATGCAGTCTTCTTTTGTATGGTTATACCACTTCTCTAGCTCCTGTTGCCTTCTGAAAATATAATGAAACATTACAATCAAATATAAAATTGGCGTCATATTATCTTCTTAACTTTACGTTACTTTTTAATTTTATTTACTTTACACTTTAAGGCTGCTGCCTCGAATTTTGCGGGCAGCGGGGCGGCAGCGGCGCAGGATCTTATGCGTAAAATCAAATGGACAGGTTCTCGAAAACAGCGGCGTGGCAGCGGCGCGAGGGCGGGTAACGAGCGGTGCAAACGCCCGCTCCCGCGCCGCAGCCGCCGCCGCCCCGCTGCCCGCAAAATTTGAGGCAGCAGCCTTACACAAGACACGTAGGCGCAAACTAGCTGCTGTGGTCTCTGCCAGAATGACCATTTTTTTTTGCCTTTGATCTTATGTGTGTGTGTGTGTAAAATAAGAAAACTTTATCTAAAAACTGTTATTAAGTATTCATTGTTAAATAAATTAAAAACAGTTAAAATTGAATCATTTGTAAAGTTTTAACGAAACTTTATCATTCCAAAATATAATTCCCGCTGGAAAGTTGTGAATGCAACATCGAGTGGGAATCAATTAAAAATTCAATTCGTGTATTGTGCTCGTAGTTTGTAATAGCGTATTTGCGTAGCACGTTCATGAATTTGGGTATTGTTGATATTCATAACGTTTGCTCATTGGCATGGTGGGTAATATATATATATATTTATTATATTATGATTGTATTATATTTAAAAAAATATATAATACAATCATAATAAGTAACATTAGAAAACCGCTGTGGTTTGTATTGATGTAGCCATAGCAGTCTTGTTTAGGAGCGCGACAAATGCATATAAAAGTAGTTTTTTAATTTGCTGTTTATGTTGGTTGGCGTTAGGCAATGTAATATGTGATTGGGTAGACCATTTATTAGCCGCGGTAGCAAATACCTCAACGTTCTCTCGCCGTATACGTTGTTTGCTCTTGATGTACAGAGCCGAACTTAAATACTTAACTTATAAAAGCCTGCCCTCACTTTTTTGCTATGGGACTACAGAGGCATCGCACCGGTTTAAGTCTATGTGAGACAGTCTTAAGAAAAGGATGTTGTTGCTAATGGTGTACGTTATCATCCTTGACTATTCTAGTCCGTGAAACATTTATGGGAACTAGAGAAGTGGGTTGTTGTACAAGTTGGATAAATAAGATTATATTTTCATAGTACCTTGAGACCGAATATTTTTCTTTGATTAAATACCCAAGTAAATTTAATAATTTTACACACACTATATATCTATTTGACTTTTTGTTGTTTTAAATCTAGAATATAAATGCTTTTATTCGAATTTTAGCATGTTTTTACTCATTTTCAATATCAGTAGGCGGCAATTTTGTCATATAATTGCACTGTGAAGAAAACTCACCTAAAAATTATTTTTAATATCTTATGATACAGTAAATAGGGATCGGAGATCTTGTTCATTTCGCAGACAGCTCTTCGTACGCAATGGTAACCACTCAAGCCATTGCTGTAAGAAAAATAACTTGTTATAAAAGAGAGTTATAATATAATAAGTAGCTTGCAAACAGTAGATTGAATTCCGGTTTTGTTGACAGCAATTGAAAAAAATAATTAAAATAAGGCAAGAACCTAAATTACGTAGTATCATTTCACCGTTTTACTAGAAACACTGCTCTCTCTTTTTATCATAGTGTAATCAGACGTTGTCAGATAGAGATGGGTTAGTCTAAATCTGTGTAATAAGATTGAATAATTTATAAGGGCGACTTTTCATACTAAAATCTTGGAGTACAGACAATATGTTGCGATACCAATAACTTCTCCAAGGTTTTGCAAAGACAAAAAACCCACTAGGTACGGTCCTTTGAATAGTGATAATTAGAAAAACTTTTTCTTAACATAGCTGCCCTCAAAATCGAGGACATGACACAACCTATTAATAATAAAATCACTATACCTATCTAATAGTAACTCCACGCCATTATATAAACTTCGTCTGGTAAAGTGATGGTACCAATGAAATGTATCTGGAGGATCGTCCCAGTTCATGCGGAATCCTAGCGCCTGCGCAAAGATCTGGTTCCAACGCACCATATTGGCTTTATGATTTATTCGTAACTGGAACAGAATTTAAATAATATTATCTTTGGTTTATGATATATAAACACATATACATTTACAATTAATTATATTTTATTTTATTCAGTTATAATTTTTTGTATTTGTTGATATAAATACGTGTATTGTATTTAAACTGTTATATAAATAAAAAAGGTTTAGGTATCGAATTATCTAAGTAAAATAACAAAAATGTTTATAGTAGTTAGTACAAACCAAAAGTTATTTTACAATTTTGTTAAGTCTAGTAGGAACCACTATACCCTAATTCGTTTAAAAATTTAATTAATAAAGATAAGACTTACGAAAAACCGTGAGACATTTCGGAAGCCAAGGTATCTTTTTGTTTTAGTTTTGCCGGCACCTTGATCAACAACAAACAATAGAAAACAAATATAACAAATGAGAATCACATTGATTTGTTTAAGCATTTTTATCTTATCCTACCAAAAGTCTACCAAGAACTGAAACTAAAACAGATCTAGTAATTTATAACAATGTTTGCACTCTTGTGATGTTAATATGTAAAATACATATACTTAGACAGTCATTTTGAGTCTTCCGTTATATGAAAATAGACCTTATTTTTTGGATTTTCCAATAATATTGGTTTTTAGAATTTTTTAATAACAGTCGCTGATAACACTAAACATTTATTTGTCGGAGCATGGCGCTGGTATCTGCTGCCATTGTCATTATAAGTCACAGAGTTCGCAAAATAACAATGCCGAATCTTATCAGTTTATAACTGTTAATACTTGTGATACTTATTCGATTTATCATTATTACTAGATCTACGAACTATCGACTATTGATAAGTCTGTAGTAATAGTAATTTCATAGTAATTATTATTAGCAAACTAAAATGTCGGAAGCAATGAATGGCGTTAGTGTCAGCTGATATTATTATTATAATTTGTTTTGTTAATTTATTTGATTTGTCAAAGTTGCAAGATCTATAAATTAAAGACTATTCAATGGTTCAAATGGAAAATAATAGTGACTCCAAAGTAATTATTATTAAAAGTAAATTATCATAACTTTAAACCTTTGAAACTTATATACAATCAATATTTAAGTAATATTTGTTCCTATGACTTCTGTTTTACTCAGTAATCGATTCGAAGTCGGAACGAAAACACGAAATGTCACTAAACTTGTTTTCTACAAATTCGGTTCGGTGGTTGTACGACGTATAATTTATTTAAAAAAATTGCTTTATGTCCAAATGTTAAACCATGTGACAACTATATAGAGAGGAAGGTCGGGACCCTTCGTACGGTTTTCACATTTTATTATTTTTTTTTTCTTTTTCCATGAATCAATCACCTGATAGCTTAAATTTATAGTCTAACTATCTGAGATTCATATAAAAAAATGTCAAATGATTTCATCTGATGGTTCAAACATAATTTATGTCTTTAAACTAAATCTGGAATGAACGGTACGAAGTCTGCCCCAGTCAACGGTGCACCTTCGTACAGTGTTGGGGGGTACTACCTTTCGTACGTGAGGGAATAGATAGTTCCGTTGGTTGACACTTCCGATTTAAACGACACATATAAATCAAAATTCATTTATTAGCAATGAAATTAAACACAAAAATAAAAGATTTTATTTCTATTAAACAAAAATAAATAGTTTTCTTATAGGTGAACAAAAATTACATAGCTTTTCTTATGTAAAACAAAATTTAATTAGTTAGTTCATCTTAAATTTAGAATCACATTTCTTAATCTGCGCCTGCGGATTAGCACTTCTTATTTTCGGGTGTGGCAGTATAAATTCATGGTTTTCCTGGCCGTCGTCGTCATTTTGTTTGTTTTATTATTTCTTACAACATGCGGATAGGGTCAAAATGCCTCTGGTGTCAAAACTGACTTTGAAGGAACTACTATTTAATGGATTGGTAAATTTATTCAAAGCATCTGGTTCACAAGCATCAAAATCAACCTTAATAAAGATAATAAGAAAATAGGTATTAATATATATTTACATCGACGATAGCAAAATAGCAACACAGGACAAAGTTAACGCAAAAATGAGCAATTAGCCGTACTACACTACTAACGACAATCGTACCTCTAACCAGAGGTTTTAGTCAAGGTGCCCTAACAGTAGTGTATGTAAGAAAGTCTAAAACTTAATTTTTATTGAAAATGACAGTTCGTGTCGACAAATTTTTCATACTAAATTTAGTTGTACAATTTGCTGTTTCAAAAGAGTACGGGTTTTTGCTCCCCATCTAGTGCTGTCGAAGGGACCCCACTAACTGAATAACAACAAAATATAACTTATTTTAATATTAATAGGAAAATACCATAAATTAAGTATTGCGAGACGTATCTTAAAGTATAGTTGCTAGTTACTGATAGAATACTCTCACACGAAAGCTTATTTTATCTACGGTAACAAGAGACAAAAACATTGATCAAAATTAAGATTACTCGAGCGCGAAAACACGTCCATGCCAGTAACTAATCACTCATCATCGGTGCGAATTTGGAACTAAACTTCGATTGATGTATAGTTGGTACCTCGACTCAGTACACATACAAAAACAAGACTGTAGTTTGTTTTGTTCAAGTTTTATTTTGACTGTATGAATGTGCCCCGCGTACGAAGGGTAACGATCTTCCCCTACTACGTTTCAACAGTATTATATTATGTTGAAGGAAGAAGATCAGGCTTTTAAGCCTGCCAACCCGGACTCGGATCTCTGGTTGTACTTAGTCATTTGAGCGCTATATTACCGAAGCTCATTTATATATTTAAGCATACATTATACATAAACAAATGAAAGAAGTGGAATATAATTCTATAAGACATAGGATTCGTATAACATAATAATAATAATAATTGCTGTAGCAGCATAGTCTAACATCATATAGTTTCCTTATTTGAAATCCACTTACTAGTGTCGTTTAATTGCTGTCTAAAGAAGTAAGAATAGTGCGGAAATAATTTAGTCGGCACTCTCAACTCTTCGTTCATATGAACATTTAAAAATCAATTTTAATCTCGTGCCTTCCAAAATGTTTGACTCGTAATTCAATTTGTATAATCGGTGTATAAATTTTCTTTCTGTAAGTTACAATTCTTGTGTTTATGTATGAATAAATTTGGCTTCATATCTTAATATATATAAATTACGTGTCACGTTGTTTGTCCGCTATGGACTCCTAAACTACCGAACCGATATCAATCAAATTTGCACACCATGTGTAGTTTGATTCAATTTAAAAGAAATAATAGCTTACATCTCAATTTATACCCGCAATGTTATTTTATTGCAAAATATTTGTTTATTATTTGATAGTCACAACAGATGGCGCTGTGTTGAAAGTACCAACGTTTCACATAAGCTACAATTTAATGGCATAACCACCAAATACGCATGGTGGTCCCCATGACTGGTGTTCTCCTACCGTTTCCCTTGAATAGTTTGCTACTATGTTATATAACAAAAACCTTAGCCACAGCAACGCTTGGCCGGTCTGCTAGTATTATTTATAAAATCAAGAGTCTGTGGGGAAAGAGAACCGATGCAGGATTAATGTGCAGCAATGCTAAATTACCCTTTTTATTCAAATCTGTTACGACATTATTGTTTTACCCCAATCATGTTGACCATCTATTTGATATTAAAAAAATAAAAGTTTATAATTTTAATATTAAACTGAAATGACGCGTAGCAAATAAGAATATAAGTTCGTGGCAGTTCGTTCATAACTACACCGTCGGCACCGCACAGACATCATTAACTATAGCTAATAAATATATACGACACTGGGCGATTACATGATCTAGATTCTAGATTATACTGCTATGTAAAAGGGTATGTTGTATATTACTAAAATATGGGAGCTTGTTAGTGCAATGTGATATTGTGATGTCTTCATTAGTTGCTAGAGCATTTTCGTGTTTGTACTCTCATTATGCACTGTACCTAATTGCACACATAGTGCATTTGTAAGGTCTTTTCAAATTATGTCACCGTGAAAACTTAATGAAAATTATGTTTTCATTAAGATAAAGAATAGTGATTATACAATATTATTCATTTGAGGTTTTGTATTTGTGCAGGCTTAGGGACTTTGTACTGTTTTTTTTGTTTTAAAGCGAGTTATGACTGATGTAAAAACTTTTTTACTAAAAAAAAATAAACAGAAGAACGAAATTTTACTACAATAATCAAATGCATAATTCATAAGCAGAAGAAGAACTTCGGGCAATCGCGTTTAAAGATTACATGTTCCGCTCCAGCTTGTTGATGGAATAAAATGCTGTTGATTAAAGTGATTGATGATTATGAAACTTTATTCACAAATTTGTTCTTTGATAATGTCACTATAGAAAGCTTTAATAATTAATTTAAACTTAAAAAAATTCTATAAATTACGATTGATTAAATTAAATATTTTAAGTTGGGCCCATATAGTACAAAAATTATGTTATTTTATTACAGAATCAGTCAGGAATAATTCCTTTTAACGACTGCATCTGAATCTATTAAACAAAACATTTTATTTATTTATTTAACAGTAACTAGTTACATTGTCACACATATACCCAGAACGCACCATAAGCGTTAATACAACTACTACTACGAATGTTTAGTTTTATTATTTTATCATGTAAGGGTTTTTAGCATTAAGAATAGAATGATATTAAGTTAAGTCTAACATCAACCACCGTTTAAATAGGAGTCTGACGGCTCATGCCCTAGAGACGGTTTTTCGCCGGGCCTAGCTCCGGTCTATGTCCGGTCGACAGTCTTGTATGGGACACTATGACGACAAGCACAAGACGCCGGCGCTAACGCCGGCTTTCCGCGCAACCGGGCACGGTGCTCGCCGCGTCTACGCCCGGTGCGCAGTGGAGTATGGCAGTGTATGAGCGCATGTACACGAGACCGGGCCTACACCCAGCGCGTGCCGACTACCTACACAGTACGCAAAACGCAATATTATATTATATAATTATTGAAGTCGACCAGGAATTATTAATTGGAGATATACGACTGCGCATATTTGTATCTTCATGTTTAAGTTTGGGTTCCAAAATATGTAACATTTTTATAATGTTTATTTTTTCATTCGAAAGTACTTCTCAAATTTCTCGTCATATTTCATTAGTTGCTTCTGAATGAGCGTATGAAATGCACCATGATCTTCTCTTTCTGTTAACATGGGAGGTACCCAATGTCATCAATAAAGTTTCTTAAATATTTAAAAAAAAAATCTATTGAATACTGTCGCGATTTGACTAACAACTAGTGTTATAACAAACAACTACATTTTTTATAATATATCGAATCAAAAACTATTTTTTTCTTTAGAATCTTAAACGGTTGGAACGAAACTCATTTATTTTGTCATAGAAGGGTACAAACACGAATGGGCAACGTTGATACAGTCTAAGTTTTTAATTTGGACACTTTACTGATAAGTAACTTGTAGCAGTAAGATCGGAGGAAGCGCGGCAGGGGTGAGGAGGCACAAATACCGTGTGTATATATGTTTACCGAGTTATTATTGTCCTTTTTCTTTGTTTCTCAGCGCCAACCGCTAGAGAATTTCATTTTGTGCCCTTATTAGCATTTAAAATCTTATTTTAACAAAAAAATTAATTAGGCCCATGCATCACTAATGGAGCGTTATTTTAATATCTGATACTGGAAGAGATGAAGCATTGCATTGTAGTAAAAAATTTATATAAGTAAGTAGCGGACCCGACAGACATTGACATGCAATGTAAACGAAAAATAATTCGGATGGTTCAGACTGGGAATCGAACCCAGATCGTAACTAACGGTAAAGCTACCCGAGACTCGTACCTGAAAAACCAGCTGTTTATTTGCAGTATAGATAAATAACCTTGATACCAACTGCAGCGCCATCTGCCGGGCTGATTTGTGAATCTAAACCACCCGCGCCACCCAAACGTATACAAAAAAATTCATTCAAATCCGTCTAGCCGTTTAAGAGGTGTTCAGTGACATACACACGTACAGTAAAATTGTATATAAAGATAGAGTACTTACGAAAAAGCGTGTTATATTACTAAATCCCAAGTATCTTTTTGTTCTTATTCCAGGGTCTCCCTCAGAACGGTGAACCAGAATATTCATAATAAGAAGCGTATAGCATAAAATATATATTTTTAATGACTTGTACATAGTTAGGATATGTTTTTAATCACATTTCTTTAGAATAACTTATTCATTACAACAAATGATTATTATTTTTTTATTTGTTGTTAAAAACTTAACTAAACAATATTTAATACAAAAACACTTTTCCATAAAACCTTATTTTGAAAATGTTTTGTTTAAATTTGAATCTTGTTCATTTCAAACGTAATTCTGGTATGTTTCCTAGCACAGACAAAGTTTACTATAAATTATTATTTGTTGTAACGGTATGTGTGAAAGTGGGTAGTATTTAATGTTTAATTATCACGGCATATAATAGTAAAAAGAACATCGGTCCACACATATACAGAATGTTCCAATTTCTACGCCAGAAGCTTTTAGTGTAACAGAGATATTGTGAATGTGGTAAATCACAGAACAGATTTTAATTTTTGAAGTGAAACTTCTTTATCGAGGTTGGAAAAAAAAATTATCGGTTACGCGCCATGTTGCTTTTTGAAGTCAAACTTCTTTATCGGCGTTGGGATGAAACTTTGTAGCAAATCGTCACGTTTTTCAATGATAGTAATAATTATATTACAATTAATGAAATTCTATAATAATCTTCGTAGTAATAAGGTAAAATGAAATATTTGTATTCATGTCTATGATAATAAAAGCCTTTTGTTAAACTTTATCTAATTTAACGAATTTCAGTAAAGTTGCATATAGTATAGATCATTTTTCGAAAAATAAGATCATAGAGAAGTTTCACTTCTTACGTGTGTACACCTAGTACACGCACAATTAATTTTTTTACTTACGTAACTTTAATGACGTTGTGGTTTATGACATTTTCCTTTGAATAATTGTAATGTAGAGGGAGGGTAAAACTTGCTGAGTTTCTTGCCCGTTCTTCTCAGAACAAGGCCTCCTGGTAGTTTTGCGAACGGATGGCGTAGTCTTGCTCCTTCGCGAATTTTGTAAACGTTTTGACATTCATAAGCATTCCCTAAAGGTGCGCTTACACGAGGGCAATAATTGCTAGGCGACACGAATGGACCGATCTGGAGCTATTAATGGAGCAATTTCAATTAATTCAATAAATTGCAATAAATTATTTCGGCCATATTGCTTCTAATTGCTCCAGATATTTCATATCGCTCAATGTCGCAGATACGAATTGACGAATATCCAATGGACTTGGAAATTCCTAGCAATTTTTGTATATGTCTCATTCGCACTTGTTTGTTTTGCGGCTTGCCGTCTTGCTTCCGCGGGGAGAGCGAGAGGTCTAAATAATAATAATTTCTAATTACTTTATTCAAAAGTCTGTTCGTGACATTCTAGTAAAGTTTTTGAATAATATATCATCTTTACATAATGAAAATTTTGTCCTATTTGCCAAAAACGATCGCACCCAGATACCTATTCCTTTTCTTTCTTTTTTGTTTTTGATTAATGATAAAAAAAGCGCTACAAGCCGCGGCAGCAAGAACAATGTCGCCCATAGCGAGCGAAAACTGAAATGCTCGTGTATGACAGTATTGCCTAGTTGATGAAGTTGTGCCATATCGCTCAATATTGTATTGCGCAGTATTGATGCTTGTTGCCGTTGCCGTAAATTGCTTGATGTAGTCGTGACATCATAATTGACGAGTATATTAACTGGAATTGAGCAATTTTAGTTGCCCGTGTAAGCGCACCTTAAGACGCATCTAAACTGAAAAAAAAAATTGAAGACAGTAATATAAATTATTTTTAATAATTATTCATAATATGACTACTACACAAACCAAAAATTAAAGTGAATTAAGAAAATAAACGATAATAGAATAAGATCCTGTTGAAAATAATACAATATTGACATGTTATTCGATACATTCCTATTTTGATAAAAAATTGAACCTAGTTTTAGACAAAAACAAGAACAATCAACTATTTAAGTAAAGCACCAATGTACTTTGATGATTTGGCTGAGGCGGTTCCTGGACTTTCAACCTAAGATCCTACTACGCATAGTCCACTTAGGTATTTTGAATATTTTGTCGTAGAAACAAATTCATTACGGATTTTAATGCATCTGGATATACTATACATTTACGTTCATATGTATTATTTTTATGTAAAAGGCACACTTATTACGAAAACCTCAGCTAAAGGTAAAAAAAAACTGATTAAATAAATATTACAATTAATATAATATTCCTGAGTAGGGTTGGCCTATTGGCTTCAAAGTGCGACTCTCATCCCTGAGGTCGTAGTTTCGATCCCCGGCTGTGCACCAATGGACTCTCTGTGTATGTGCATTTAATATTCGCTCGAACGCTGAAGGAAAACATCGTGAGGAAACGCTTGCCTTAGACCCAAAAAGTCGGCGTGTCTCAGACACAGGAGGCTGATCACCTATTTGCCTATTAGATTGACAAATAATCATGAAACAGGTACAGAGGCTGAGATTTAAAAAAATTGTAGCGCCACTTATAAATTTTTATTTGAATAATTTATACAATGAGGTTCCATAGGGTAATAAATGCTGGAAGAGTGGAACGTGAGGCCCAGTAGTTCCAGTAAGTAGCGAAATAGTCGTTAGGCTGCAGATTCTATAATATATGGCTACGTAATACACAAACAAACTACATACAGATATTTACAGAGAATGATTACATTACAAAATCAGAAAAAAAAAAATCTGATTTGATTTTGATTTATTTTACCCACGCAAGTGATAGCCAGTTTTCTCTTATCCAACACCCTTTACAGTAACGGATCAGTATTTGATGATCGTGATAATCTTTAAAACCGATTAACACATTATAAGTGGAATCCAAAAAAGAAATAGTATTATCCAAAGGTTTCTTTAAAAATATATAGTCAACCACAAAATGATATTATTTAATATAATAACGTTGTTGGTAATTTCATGTTATGGCCATGAAGAAAATTCTGATTATGTGTTGTCGAGAAAAAAGCGTTTTCTAATATTTCCCGAAGGCAGTTCGTTCCAATTGGGTAAGATAATTTAATAAGCATTATTAACTTTTAAATAACCTCGTTCGGGCTTAAGTTTGCTTCTTAATTAATTATAATTTATTTAATTAAGTATAAGAATTGAACGAAGTTTTCTGATAAGTGTATTAAAGGAAATAACATTTTATCAAATAAAACTAGTTATTATAAAATTATATAAGTTCTTTACTTACTTTTAAATTTATAAGTGTCGTTTCTACATTTATAAATTTACTCAGTTGTGATTACTTCTTATATTTTATAGTATTTGTTTTTTAGTGTGTTTTTTGTCATAGAGTCAATGTAGTTACTTAGTAGTGTGTGTGAGTGCATTATAAGTTAGACAAAAATCCAAATGGGATTGTATTTAGTAATTTGAAAAAGATGAACAGTTTGATATTTCAGTTTTAAAGATATATAAATGACACTACCATAGACAATTCAACAACAATTTTATTCACAAGCAATAAGCAATATACAGTTTTTTATTTAATGAAATATATCATTAAAAGATGAATCTTATTCTATAAAGTCAAAAGTCTATAAAGTCTCATATATATATATATATATAGCGCTTATTCTGTTTACCACACGTTACGTCTTTTGTTGCATTAATTTTGATCAATTTTAGTATTATAGTTAAACGAACTGAAAATTATAACTATTTTAAAATCATATACAAACTAAGTTGATAAAAGTTGTGATTATAAATGTCGACTATATTATCCCCACGACAATGTAGTACCTTGATTTTATGACGGTGTCATATAAACTTCAGTCATACGAACCTCATCTACTAGTATAAGATCCCGATATACAACGACCTTCACCGAGATGCTTATTTAATGAAACGTATTTTATATTTAATTTAATATGTCAATAAATATAATCCATATGGGTTGCCTAGCAAATTTCAGTCCAGAGTATGTTTAATTAGTATTTAAAAAAAAAATATTTTTTTATAATTTGCATGTAGTCAATTTTTTTAATTTTTTTCAATCAATATTTTTAATCAGGGTAGTATTATATATGTATCACTATAACTTTCTTTTTTACTAAAGATGTATATATACTTTAGTGTCACATAAAAAATATACACATAAATAATAATTAATTGATTAAAAACAACCTAACGTTTGCATATCGGGCTAGATCGTTGTATAGAATTTATCTAAATCTCCGGATTTTAGAAATTTTTTCAATAATTAAAATACTCTCGAATGCTAGGCCTTGGAATATTTAAAAACGTTCATTAAATTTAGCTTCATAGCTAGAAAGAATTAATATTTAAACAGTTAAAAGTTAAAGATATATCTTTAGATAACCGTCGTTCAACAACTGAGCGTTATTAAGGCAGTTTTTGCACCACCACTATGTGACCTCCCACCTGCCCACTGAAGTTTTTCCAAACCAATTCGACATAGGGTCCTTCAAGAAAAGAGCGTACCAATTCTTAAAAGGCCGGCAAAGCACCTGCGAGCCTTCTGGCAATGTGCGTGTCCATGGGCGGCGGTATCACTTAACATCAGGTGATGCCTCCTGCCCGCTTGCTTCTTATTACATAAAAAAATTAATTGTAGGCAAACTTGTACAAGTGGAAACGGCGCACAGTTTAAAGGATGTACACACACATTCAACGTATACCTTTACTTTTTAATCTCTTTATTTATCGACGAACACCATCTTTAAATCAATGTTATTTGTTTTTTTTTATCCTAGTACGACTAGCATGTTGGCTTCCTAGTATTTCTTCTTGTAGTTTCTACATTAGGTTCATTGTGTTATATAAGCCTCCAGGGCGCTTTCAGTGCGTCGGTGCGGACTTTCAATTGTTTATATCGAGCTAAAGGTCTGTTTTATTTGTTTTTTATGTACTATATAAGTCTCAATGTAGCTTAAACAACGATTCAAGTCTACAAAAGCTGCAACTTTTATATGAATATGGTTTTTTATAAATATATAGAATTATATAAGATAAATATGTTTTCAAACTATGGAGCAGTATTGGCCTAGTGGCTTCAGCGTGCGACTCTCATTCCTGAGGGCGTAGGTTCAATCCCCGGCTGTGCACCAATGGACTTTCTTTCTTTGTGCGCATTTAACATTCGTTCTAGCGGTGAAGGAAAACATCGTGAGGAAACCGACATGTCTTAGACACAAATAGTCGACGGCGTGTGCAGGCACCTACTTGCCTATTAGATTTAAAAATGATCATGGAAACAGATTCAGAAATCTAGTAGGTTCAATCCCTCGGCTGTGCACCAATGGACTTTCTTTTCTTTGTGCGCATTTAACATTCGTTCTAGCGGTGAAGGAAAACATCGTGAGGAAACCGACATGTCTTAGACACAAATAGTCGACGGCGTGTGCAGGCACCTACTTGCCTATTAGATTTAAAAATGATCATGAAACAGATTCAGAAATCTGAGGCCCAGACCTAAAGAGGTTGTAGCGCCTAGAGGTTGCCAGTGCTTGACAGAGAGAGACTGCCTTCAGGTTCACCGAAAATAAAGCTATGAAATTTTGGAAAATAATGGATGTGAAAAAAAACAATAGCGTAATTCCAATTTCTGTAGCGGTTTTTGATGTTATGCTTCACCGTACGAGCGAATGTTAGATGCGGACATAGGAAAAGCATTAATGCACAGCCGGGGTTCGAACCTACGACATCCGGGACGAGAGTGGCACACAGTGCCATATTACTGCTGACTTTTGTTGCAAATTCACCTTATATGCAATACTTTTTATAAATTTTTATTTTACAGTATTCTGTACAACGTACCCTGCATTAACAACGATTGGGGATATTTTCCTTTGGGGTAACACAGCTGCATTAGCTTTTGAGTTGCCACAAGATCCATACTCACCCTTCCATCATAAGGCAGACCCGCAACACAGAAGAATAGACAGTAAACATATTTATTATGTTGATGAAAACGGAAAAATATTATATAAACAACCATATCAAAGGTAAGCTAAAGAAACCGGCTTGAAGTGATGCAATAGGTTCATCTAATTGTACTCGCATTTCGTGCGGTGAGTGAGGCCTCCCGAAACCCTTTAGCACCAAAAGTATGAAGGTGCAGTTCGAACACCATTCGGATACCACACGTTTCCGCTGTGGAAACTCCCTCTCTGGGCGTCCATCATCGGCACATGCTGCATTCGGTGGTGGACGCACATGCAAAATTTTGAAGGCAAACTGCGCTGAAAAACTTAAAATCTTGTAAAAGAATTTCCGAACCAATTCGACTTAGGGTCCTTCAAAAAAAGAGCGTACCAATTCTAGGCCGGCAACGCACTCGTGGGCCCTCTGGCATTAAGAGTGTCCATGGGCGGCGGTGTCACTTAACATCAGGTGAGCTTCATGCCCGTTTGCCCCTGTTCCATACAAAAAGGTAGGTGAGTAGAAAACAATACTATATGCGTTTATAACCACATATATGTAAAAAAAAAATTTGCGCATAAACAACCAAAACATACTAACAAACGACTAAATGACAGCATCAAATTGGACAATACCGGTTCCAATTGACAACACAATTACAACTGAATTAACGTGAAATCGTTAGTAATTTCATGTTCAAAACATCAGTTCAAGATATTTATTTATTCAATTTTAGTGCTTTAAATAAATAAGACGATTAGTACCTTTATTTAAGATAGTACAAAGAAATACAATTTTCCTAGAAGGAAAGTCGAACGTTCTCAGAGGAAAACAACTCACAAAGGAAACGATCAGGGGACAAACACGACGATTGCACATGCAAATTTATCTGAGGCGGGAAGCGGTACTGTCGTACAAGCATTGATCTAGTGAACATATTTATACGTAGCTTCATACTTTGGCTTTACTCGACATGATTTTCAGTTTTTAATATTAAAATAAGCATCAAATTTTTGTATATTATTGGACGTCAAGGCTTTCGGCAATTCGACTTAGGGTCCTTCAAGAAAAAAACGTGAAACTTGAAAGGCCGGCAACGTACTTGCGAGCCTTCTGGCAATGTTAGATTAAAAAGAGTGGCGGAGAGTTTATTGCCAGTTCTTCTCTTCCGTTCTACGCTCTTGATTTGAGAACTGGCAGTAAATGTAAAATTACATTTACTTCTTTTTGACATTGTATTACTTATATGAATAAATGATTTTTGACTTTGACTTTGGTACGGTCTCGGATTTAAATCACAGTTGATGTGGAAAAATATAAAAAAAATATTGCGATTTCTGGACGTAAAGTTATTAATGGTAACAAAGTCCTGCTGTCTGCCACGGTGGTCGGGAAAATTCGGCCAGCTGACATCGGGATTAAAATATTCACAATTTCAATACAAGACGATTATTATAACTTCCGCGACAGATTTTCCGGCTGAAGAATTTTTCCTGTTGATACAGGGATTTGAATGTTCACGCTAAATCAGTGGCGTGTAAAGGATAAAATCATTCATGCGTTGAAGGAAACTCGCACTGGACGGCCTTTGTAAAATAGAATCGATGTTCGAGGTAGCTTTGTAGATATATCGAAAGATGTTTTATAGAGATTAGATATATATGTTTATCAGATTTGCCAAGAGCATACTCGATTGTTTACGTTACTTAAAAATATACTTCTTTACTGATTTACTTGCAGAATTCAATTATCGTTATTTATTTATCACAAAAGGTTTTGTGATTCATTCATAAATTTAAAACTATAATTCGTATGCTTTTGTATTCCAGTTATTTAACAAAAACCTATCTTAATAGCATATCTATTGAATTTTATTTCTGCCATTGACTATATAGTTTACAGTTTTATTAATATTACTGGTACTTTAGAACTCATATACAATATACATACTAATAAAGGTATAAGATATCCATTAAAAAGTATTTAAATATTAATCAAAGTCAATGTCAAACCTTTATTGCATTCCTTATGTTCATATTTTACAGGTATTTTTTTTACAATAAGGACCTTGGTTAGGCACAGCAATGTTGCGAGAGGGCATGATTTATTATAGTTAATTCTATTCTTATACATTTTTAATCTTATAGGTATATACATTATATTTTATTTGCTTTGGCTTCGAGTTGCGAAAAGGAGTATGTATTTAACTTTTATAAAGAAATTAACCATTAAATTATTCCTATTATTATTGAAAAAAAAGTGTTAATTAATTCAGTCTGTGATATGGTTTTTCATAAAATTATTTATTATTCAAGAAGACGAAATGTACGAGTACCTTATGCATAATTGTTGTCCGACGGAACGACCGATTGAGTGATGTGTTGATTGGAGTAGACGTTATATTAACCAATCACAATCAAGTTGCCAACGTTTCGCCTTTCGTTAACATTTTGATCCCTGAAATAAATAAACCATGACATAACCTAACACATGTTTGAGAATTCGCATTTATTTGTGTTTTATTGAGTTAAATATTCCTTACAATTATAAAACGCTTCATACTTTTCTCCCTCACAAACATCTTTAGGTTTATAGATTTTAAATTATTTAAATGTTTGCCTATTGCTAGGAATTTGGCAAATGAAACTTGTATACAAATGTATTTTTGTGTATGTGCTGCTGCTTGGTGTAAAGGTTGCAAACGTTGTGGAAAAAAAACTTGGCGATTAAAAAGAGTGGCGGAGAGTTTGCAAATTCTACTCTTCCGTTCTACGCCCTTGATTTGAGAACTGGCAGTTTATGTAAATTTAGAAATATTTAATGTATATTTCTTTTTTGACGTTCATAAGTGTACATTGTGTTACCTACATGAATAAATGATTTTTGACTTTGACTTTAATAAAAACGTCGCTAAGCTTTGAAAAGCCTAATCGTCTAGACTACATTTTTTATACGTAAATGATTTTTAATTTTTCAGAAAACTTTTGGTCAATCCAGCATTCGCTAAACGTAGTGTCCTAAATGTAGATAGAAAGAAGATGCATTTATTTCAAACAAGGCCTGGGTTTAATGATTTGGATCATAATCAAATTGACTTCCATCGCAGTAGCCGAACGCAGTTATATGAGAAGTTAGAAGTTATGATGCAAGGGTAATATAATATTTAATAATTCGATGTCATTTTCCGCCAGTTTCAAACTGTGTTAAAACTACATTTAGGTAGAGTACAACATTGATTTTAGTTGAAGTTTTTTCGCTTCTTAATTAAGCAAAGGATATACTATTTAATTTGTAATTTTAAAGCTACCAGTTAAAGAGTTATTGTGTTATCTGAACCAACCATCAAATTAAATCATTAGTCCAACTAATAAATAAATAATTAAGAGAAAATTAAATTGCTCCCATAGTGACGACTAATAAACTCCACACAACAGTGAATCTTCTAATGTATAAAATTCTCGTGTCACAATGTTCGTTCCCATACTCCTCCGGAACGGTTCGACCGATTCTTATGATTTTTAATGCATATTCAGTACGTCTGAGAATCGGCTACTATCTATATTTAAACCCCTTAGTGATAAGGGGTGTTTACCCCAAAAAATTTTTTTTTATTTTTTAGGTTTTATTTTGTTATGATACTGCATACAAAAATACATAAAACTTTTCACCCCTCGACCATCAACCCCTATTTTTAAATAAAAACCCCTATTTTTAACAAATGTTAATTAAAATCTTATGACTTGTTTAAATAGAGAAAAATTCACAGATTGGTATGTACTAAAAAGCTAAGTAAAATCACATTAAGGAGAAACGAAGTTCGCGGGGGTTCGCGCGCTAGTATAATATAAAAAGGCAAAGAAACCTTACTTATTAAGTACTAGAAATATTTTACCTTCTCTGAGCAATATTTTTTATTTTATAGGTTGGGCGGTAATGGGCGGGCGTGTCTGCTGAAAACACTGTGTATGTACCGCGAGTCTGCCCATGAACCTCAGGGAGGATTTATACATGAGATATTGAGATCTGTTTATACGTAAGTTAAATAGTGAACTAGCAAATTATGGAATCGACTCCAGTTGGAGATCTTCCATAAAAGATTAATTCTTCTGAATTCTTCATAATTCTTATAATTCTTCTTCATAATCGAAGTCTTCTTCAACCCACTTAAATGGGAGTACATCAAACATATGAGTATTATATAAAAAATGGTGTAAAAAGCATTATAGTTGTTAGAATAATATACGTGAAGTAAATAGTATGGTTAATTTGTGAATATTTTAATAATTTCATTAAACGTTATTGCATTTTATCTGTCTTCAAGCTTGATCTATTCGGTCGATTTTCACTTTCTTCTATTTTGAGAATGCAAAATATATTTAAACTCCTCCTTAGGAAAAAAGAATTTGGCGATGTTACATATACATTATTTGCATATGTTTTAATTAAAGAACATTTTGCTGTTTTCCAGATTACCGAAGAGTCGATCAGAAGATGATTTCTATCAAGAATATGACGAAGCCTCTTCGGAAAAATGCGATGAATTATATCCGGAATGCACATTCGTTGATTCAATTAAATAAAAATACAACAATGATATTATTGACTTTATTAAATAAACTAGTAAGTAAAGCAGTGTTTTATTTCTAAACAGTCTTAGGGTGCTAATAAATCCATAGATTAGTGCCCCATTATCAAATTTTGTAAAAAGAATTCTTTTTAATAGTATTTGTAATATATAAACTGAATTCAATATTAATCTAGTTTAAAGGTATAAATGAATTACGTTACGATACCTGAAGCTCCCCGTTTCATTTAAAGTATCTTTTCAATAACTTAAAAGCACATCTTTCGCTAATTTGCAATTTCTTTAATGTATAAAAAGTGGTCTAATAGCCTTCATAGCTCATTACGCTTCATAATTGTGTCTTAATTTTAATGACTGAGACCATAATAGTCGGGCAAATGGAACGCTAAATGGAACTAATTATGAAGAAAATGTAAGTGACGTTATTTTCCTATTTCACTTATTTATCACCTGTGACGTCAGGTTTTTGTTTTTGGTAAATCAATAGACATCACGTGCACGGTTCCCGGGTCATCGGGGTGCTCAAAATAATAGAGGATCTTAATTTTACTTTATATTAACCACTCGCGTACAACAATAGAATATAAGCGAAATAATGTAATGTTAAATGCTATGTAACAAATGAATGCAACGCAACAATTGAAGAAATTGTCTACGTCTGGCTATACTCTCGATGCGTAACTCCCAAGAGTTAGCTAATTGCTATGAAACGAATGAATGCAAAGTAACAGTTGAAGAGAGCGCCTACGTCTGTCTATACTTTCGGGGCATACGACGATTTAGGAAATCGCCACGCTTATAAAACTAAAAAAGCCTGAGTGAGCAAAATGAACAGCCTTGGCTGTATCACGATTGTAACTGTTCTTAAGTTGACACAGAACATGTTAATTGGTCTTTCTTTATACAATTCCGCGCAACGAGACAATTTGTTTTGTGTCATCCCGGTGGCAACTAGAATTTTTGGAAATTGGTCTCATAATTAACATGTTAAAACTTTATATTTTGATTTTGATCCTCGGATTTACGTCAAGTGATCCGTGTAGAGGTGATGAATGTCTTTCTGGTGGAAATGCAACGCGGGTGCTGTCTCGAAGCAAGCGGTTTTTAATTTTTCCTGAAGGAAGCTCCTTCCAATTGGGTACGTACTGGGTAATCTAGTTAGTGTGACGTGTGTGAAAGGTAGAAGGCATTTGAAAAGCACTAACCTCCAGGTTGTGCCTTTGAAATGAACGTTGATTAAAATGCTTTTAAGTAATGAGAGAAACGGTCTAGAGGTTTTTTATTTCAATGTATACTTATGTTATAGTTATAAATTATGTATAAAAGATTTGAATGAGAAATTCACTTTAAGTTTATTTTAATATTAATGAATTTCTTAATATTGCTGAAGCAGATTAAGTCGGTAGAAAAGTCTCCTTCAAAATCAGGTTAACATTAGTTTATTTAAACTGAAAAATACAAATTAGTGAGTTTTGTCGAATATTAACCGAGGTTTAGTAATGTAGGTAATAGGTATTTTGAAGAATTTGTTAATTTGGACTGAACGGATACCTTATGAGGCTGCCTTTTCAATGCAACAATACATAATATACTATTAACAATGAAGAACTTTCATTAACAATTAGTTTTGCAACAATTTCAATTATTGATTCTTTCTTAATGATTTCTTACAGATAACTGTCATGTTTCTTTAATATCTGTGTCAAAATTCAAACATAGAATAATATTTATATTACGTTCTACTCGTATGTGGACAGCAAAAATTTTTTCAGACACAAAGTATGTGCAAAGGAAATATAAAATATTGAATTGATACAGAAATTACAACACTTTGGACCTCATATAAGTGTAGTGACCATGCAAAATTTATAAGCCGCTAAATCATTTTCAGTATTCTGTACGCAGACAGCGGCTCTTATTCCCATCGGAGATATATTCTTGTTTGCCAACACTGCAGCTATGGCCTGGAATTTGCCTTCAGACCCAAAACTTCTGCTAATGTTTAAAGAGTATGAAAAAAAAACCAAACAGAAGGAATGATGAAAAAAATATCTATTACTTGGATGAAAATGGACGAGTCGTAGCTAAGATGCCGTTTAGAAGGTAATTTTGACAATTTTTAAATTATATTATTATTTTCGTGTTTTATAAATAATTTGATAACAATTATTGCCTTGTGTGTGCTCATTTTATAACTACAGTACTACTCTTTATATAATAGTTACATTTGTTTGGTTTAACACAAAACCCATACCTTAATTCTTTATAACGCAAAAGTAATTCTCTGTAACGAATAAATATTTTCATATTTAGACATCAACAACATACTTAAGTGTAATTGTTTTTATAATCAGCTTACAAAACTAACCTTTTGAGGTGCCGAAATTCCTAAGACCTGAGGTCATAAACAGCCGTCTCGCCTTTTTTTATTGTTAATTGTATTAACACGTGTGCCATTATTCTGAGATTACGTTGCCTGTAGGAAATTTTGGTCTCAGTTACTAAACGCACCACTGTCACCTATCGTGTATATATCAGTCAAAATAAACTTTGAAACTGTCAAAATGGCTAGTAAAAGAAAAGCGTTATGTGTTTAGAATAATTTATCTATTGATGGTAATAAAATTAGAAGTTATTGTAATTGGTTATAATTTTATATTCACTCCCTATAACGTAAAAAAAGCTCCTTCTAGCTAAAGAAATCAACATAAAATAATGTACGTACCATGCTCCATTGTGAAGTCTACTTTTACTATAACATAATATTATCATAAATAGTTTAATTTCTTTGCTAATTATGTTACAGACCCACAATCGTAAACCCGGCATTCGCGAAACGCAGCGTGGATGAAGTGTCATTTAAAGACCGATTAAAAGCGAAGATAGATCGAATGAAAATGCACGAGAGACATGGACGAGATTTTCTGAGACACGATGAAGGCAATAGTGAATTTCATAGAAATAGTCGCGCAGAGCTATACCAAAAACTGGAGACATTAATTACAGCGTAAGTGCCTAATGAATCTTCACTTCCTTTGTGAAGAATAATGAAGCTAATTTAAACGAAATATTGCTTTATTTTCAAGTACTTTAGGGATAAGGTGATTGGTTGATCTAGATAATCTGGATAGTTAACTGGAAATGCATGCAATTTTGTAATAAAAAATCTCTGTATGATTTAACCTCAATTTCTGTATATGTGTCTTTCTTTTTACAAAGCACCTAGTTATTTTAGATTGTCGTTCTAATGTTTTGAGCCTACGATGCATTCCTCAAAATATATATTTTCATTATAGGATCTAGTCACATAGACTGACAAGTTGCACGATTAGAGAAAATCGCGTAAGAGCTGGAGAGTGGAAATTGGGTTTCTTTGTAATATTTTGTAAATCTTTTTATATTGTAGCTAGCTATAGAGAACGTTGGTAGTAGACATTTGGATTTAGTCATAAATAGTAATGAAAATTTGTTTATAGTTAAAGCGGCTTTACAATGGTTCTATAAAAAAAATATCTCAAGTTCAGATTTATTGTGTGATTTTGAATTTGTTAATTTTTCCTCGTTTTGAACAACGACAGTGCTGTCCTTTTAAATTTTGTTTGTCCAAGGTTGACTTGATACAGGCTTTTAATCACTAGTTAAAAAAACTAATCATTTTTATAAATAGGTAACAAAATATAAACGGTGAGTGAAAACGAGACGTAAGAAATAACCAAGCGTAGTTATAGGAACTTTAGTAACTAATAATGCTTTTATAGATCTAGAAATATGACATAACAGATCAAAAACTTTATGACAGACAATTAGGTTGACAGTTGTATAAATGAAAAGCTCGTATACGAAATCGCGTATCGTAGAAGAAACAATTTCGAATAGTAACTAAAGTAATTGTCTCATTTTCAGTCAAATTGTATTTACACTGTGGTGAAAAGAGACACATGTGAATAAGAGTGACCTTGGTTGATAGTCAGGTCCAACGTGCCTGGTCTGAAATAAATTAAAAAACTCAGTCGAGAATAATTTTTTCATATGCAAATCATAAATTTCATTAGAAAGAATGTATTGGTACTAGGTATATTTCGAAACATATACACACAAAGTTACAGAATTTGATATCACAGATAAATTACGTATCTGGTTAGAGAGAGCGAATATTTATCTTACTCATAATTAAAAATATCTTATGCCACGCGTCTTTCGAAGCAACAAGTATATTTTTTACCATACTGTGGATTGAATTAAATACATTGAATATGTGGATTTTATTTATTGATATCAATGTACAAATCATATGCGTATTTAGTACATAAATACATTTGGTATGGCTTATGTAAATCAAGATAACGTATTATAAAGCAGCATATGCAAATTTTTCAAATTATGAATTAGAAGCTAAGATGTTCAGAGGAATTGTTCGGATTAATACCTGCAGCTGAGTTTCATCACATCGACTCGTTTCTTAAGATATTTTTTTTTGATTTGACATGAAAAACTCTCATTATTTTACAAAATATAATAGGTATTATATTATCAGTATAATATTTTTTACTATAAAGTCAACAAAAATACATTAGACATATATAATTCATATGAAGAAGATAGAAGAAGACTTAGAAAAATAATGCTTACTTAACATTCTATAGTAGTTTTAACTAAACCTAAGATTTATTGGAACTAGTATCAGCAGTGTAAGCCTAGTGGCTTCACATAGTACGCGCGACTCTCATCCCTGAGGACGTAGGTTCGATTCCCGGCTGTGCACCAATGGACTCTCTTTGTATGTGCATTTAACATTCGCTCAAATGGTGAAGGAAAACATCGTGAGGAAACCGGGTTGTCTTAGACCGAAAACATCGACGGTCTGTTAGGTTACACGAGGCTGATCACTTACTTGCTTATTAGATTAACAAATGATTATGAAGCAGATACAGAAATCTGAGGCCCAGACCTAAAAAGGTTGTAGCACCACTGATGTATGTATTTTTTTTAATAGAACGGGGAACAAACGATCAGGAGGCTCACCTGATGTTAAGTGATACCGCCGCCCATGGACACTCTCAATGCCAGAGGGCTCGCGAGTGCGTTGCCGGCCTTTTAAGAATTGGTACGCTCTTTTCTTGAAGGACCCTAAGTCGAATTGGTTCGGAAATACTTCAGTGGGCGTGCGTCACTCTTGTTTTGTTCCCGTCGTATATAACTAGTAATCAATTCAAAAAACATGAAATTCTACTTGTCATAAACACTAGCCATGTTCCATTTTTGAACTTCAATATTCGAACTATGTGTAGAGACGAAATAACTGTTGCAGGCTTGGTTCGGATGGGAGGCAGTGCGTACTTCGCAAACTATGCGAGTCAGCTCGTGCCCGAGGGCAGGGGACATTCCTTCAGGAACTACTTAGGGTTGTCTTTACGTAAGTATTGAAATTTAAATACCAAGTGTCTTCAGTACAGTATATAACAAAGAGTATGTTGCTAACATATAGAGAAGTCTAATTACATTATTATTTTGGTAAAACAATACTTTAAGATAACTATTATCAAATAAAGTTTTCTTAAAATATTAATAATAGTTATGATTTTTATTAATAAATGAAAAAGTATTATATCAAAACATAATACTTTATAATACTCAGTCTCTCGCTGATCACGATTTATAAATCACTCGAAACGTAACGTAATCGTTGGAAATGTTTTAACGGTGTTTTGCATAAACTATAACATCACACTTATTCCAATTGCAGATTCCCAAAGGACAAAAATTCTGCTATCGAAGAACATAAATTGTATGATCAAGCTCAAGATCCATCAAAGGACTGTGAGATAATGTATCCGGGCTGTGAAAATTTCGACGTCACCTCATTATGATTAGATATATGATAAAATAAGATTTGGTGAAATCTTTTTGCATTGATAAACTCATTTTCGTATGAAATGTTTGTTTATTTCATTAAGTTAGATTAACTATTTCAGTGCTTATGTATTCTAAGCCCTGAGGGTTCGAACTCCGGCATAAAACGAGTTCTTTTCCATTTTTTCCGATACTGAACGAAAATGCGGTAAAGTAATTAAACGTATGGCGTAAAATTAATGTTGTATTAGGCATTATTGCATATAAGAAAAATATACATGTCACAGAGGCATGTGTCTGCCCCATGCTCTTCGGGTCTTTGGGATATTAGAAAATATACCTACTAAATGAGCAACGTTTAATTTTTACGTAGGTACACACTCACTTACTGTGGTCAGTTAATTGTCATTTTTAAAACCATTTTATAGATATTTTTTAAACTAATTAACTTAAGACGTAGGTTTTATGTTTGTCCAAACGATATATATGCTTTATGGGGCAGTATGTCATGTATTAATACTAATAGGTCGTATTTAGTTCATAAAAGAGAAGAAATCGATTCTCGCAGCGAAAGCAATTCATGTATCATCGTGTAGAAAATACAGTTTAACATTAATATTTTAATATGAGAAATGTTTTATATTTATACTATACTTCAGTCAGTCATTGAATGTAAGCTAAAGTTTTGTTAACAAATAACCAATTAAATTTTTAGGTGGTATTTATAAAATGTTTGCCAAATATATAATTAATTAATGCGCTCACAGTCGACGTCGTTTTTAATCCTTTCAAATACACTACTTAAAACTTCAACATTCAACGGCTTTGAATTAAGTTGTTTTAATAGTTAAAATTTCAATTCAAATTAATTTAAAAGAATACAAAAGGCAGAAGACTTGTATTTTCACAATACTCGATAAAAAATGTGCTAAGTTCCTCTCAGCAAGTCAAGAGCTATAATGATTAAATAAGTGGCGAAAAACGGGGCGCGCATTACAATTCATCGTGGACAAATTTTACCTTATCATCGCGACTGTTCACAATGATAATTGTGTGTAAATAAGCTTGTTCTGATTTGTGGATGTCTAAATTTAATAAACAACGGTATGTGAGACAATGTAACGACAGTTGTTTTGAGGTAGAGCTGATAGATTGTGCGCTTAGCTTATTCGGAAAAGTTGTGTGTATATATTCAAAAGCGAAAAATTTGCTTCAAATACTTTTCTTCTATTGCTTAATAGTACGAATATTTATCTCTTACATTTGGCTTATTGTTCACATTAAAGCAACACTTAATTAATTGAGATTTTCTTTCTTTTTTCAGTAAAATATTCTTCTAGTATGGCAGACACAATTAAGTTATTCCTATTTCTTACACTCTGTACCTTTGCAATGTCTATTGATGATATTACAAATAACGAAAATTACAAAGAATCCAACAAGGTTCTGTCAAGACGAAAAAGGTACTTAGTTTTCCCGGATGGAAGCTCATTTCAGTTGGGTAAGTTTAAATAAAAGAAAAACTTTTAAGTAGCCTAAAATGAAATCAATTGTTTTTATAATATTGTCAATAAAAAATAAACTTAATAATATTGTATACATTTTGAAGATCATACTTTGTAAAGTTTCGGTACCCTTGAAAGGTAAATGATGTATTTCTGTGATTATTATTTTAGTAGGAGATAATATGTGCTTTTTATCCGGAATCATTATTGCGGAATTCAAACGCAGTAATCAAACTCCATTAAGGCCATAAAGCCATTACGAGAATAATATTAATTTTTCAGTTATTTGTGAACAAAACCATGGTTATCTTCAATTAGGTAACATAGTATGGCTTGCTAATACGGCAGCGTTGGCGTGGGAACTCCCAACGGACCCAAAATTATTCCACATATTCAAAAACCACGAAAAAGAATTTGCAAACAGAAATGGAATATCTAAAAGTATATACTTTTTGGATGAAGATGGAAAAGTTATATCTAAGAAGCCGTATCACAAGTATATTGTTTGTTTTAATATTTAAGTCCTACCAGACTAGACGTTGCTTCCCATAACTAAAAATTACTATTAGGTCCATATTTACTATTTTAAAGCTTTCATATGCAGCAACTATTGATTTGAGTATCTTCAAGAGAAAAAGTAGAGAAAATTTTTGTATCCATATAAAACTAACTCAAATGAAACAGTGTTATTGTTAAAAAAATAATATTCAGCTTTTATTTAATTAGTCTAAGACATGCCATTCCTCACGATGTTTTCCTTCAACGTACGAGATTTTATTGTCAAATAAAATCTTAAATACTATTTAGTATTTTCAATATTATGATGATTTTGTGGCTTACAGAAAATTTCTCGTAAACCCTGCATTTGCCAAGCGAAGTGTGACCGATACAAATAGCTCTATATCAATCAATGAAATGCACGAGAAACAAAAGAAAGGCGGTGCAGTTCTACAAGACTTAGATCATAATAGTATAGACTTTCATAGATATGGAAGAAAAGACTTTTATTCAAAATTGGGAGAATTTTTAAATGCGTAAGTATTGCTAACCACTTGTCTGTTGATAATAGTTTAAGTTAATTGCCTCGTTTATAATATATAAGATTTAAAGAAAACAATTTTTGATTGATTGAAGTTATGTATTATTATAAATTTACAATTATTTTACATTATATAAGATTTGGACTTTAATCATACAGATCAGAATGGGAAGATATCCCATTCTTATACAATACGAAAAATACATTTCGTACGTGATACACACGATATATTTCTTAAAGCTTGTTATACACGGCGAATTTTAATCTACGTTCTCAATATGACAAACTATATTTGAATAGAAGACGCATTTAAAATTAATTACTGGCAACACAAAAGAACTTTAGTATTACTGAAAAATTTATTCTAGACAAATACTTAATCATATGTATGAACGTGTTTGAAATCCACAGATTGCACTAAAAATTTACTCATTATATCTTAATATTTAATGAATCATTATTTAAACTGTATTCAACCATTAGTAAAAATTCTTCTTAAATTTATTAGTACAGAAAACCTGGTTTTATAGTAAAATGAAAACACATTTGTTTTCGCATCTGTGGGTCTATCAGACATGTAACTTAAAATATTTGGGCGTGGTAGGGAATAATTAGTGTGTGTACACTGTACACTCACTATCAAATGAGAATCGATTTAACTCATAAGAATCAGGAACCTTTCGAGCCTTAACAATTCAAATGAGGAATCTAGTATTAAGTCAAACGCATTACACGAATCATTGAAACCACACTTACATGAGAAACCGATTTGAAAGCATTTTTTATTTAGATTACACGGTGTGTTGTGAGCTTTACGTTTCTTTATCCCCAGTTTGAAACCGAATAAAAGGAAAAAGGGATTAAAATGTGAAACTTCTTTACAAACAGCTTTGAAGTAGAAACAAAGATTTTTAATACAAAAAGGAATGAGGATTCGGGAACATTCCGCGTTATTTCATGAAATTATTTAGCAGCTTTCTCGCGTTTTATTTCACTTTATTCTTTTTAATGTTCGGTATTGTGATTAGTATAAAGTTTTGGGATTTAATTATTTTGAATGTTAATGCTGTGGTTGAAATATCAGTATTTGTTTTGAATTATCATTTAAATTCTGTTAATAATATAGATACTTCAACGTACGATAAGTTATTAGTAAAACAACAATTATTTAATGTCTCGCTTACGTTCAGAGGTAAATATTAACATTGAATTCCCGAAGCAAGCACCTTTGTAACTGAATAATGAAATAATAATATCAAATTTTAAAAAAGGAAACAACGTTTTGTTTATTGCACATATGTGTTTAATAATATGTAAATAAAAACATATATTTATATGGCGATCAAGGATCCTACTATAAATTCAGGACGTATTCTGTAAAGTATGTCAGCTAATGGTTTTAATTCTCAGGCTGGGCCTCAATGGACAGGAATGTGTTCTTCGGATGCTGTGTGAGAGTGGCCAAGGAAGTTCCGAACAAGGCACGTTCTTCGAAGAAATCATGAGAGCTACCTTTACGTGAGTATTTTTAATATAGGCTTAACCCTTCCTTTTGTTGAATTTTGTGCTTTAAGGTATTGGTATACGGTTTAAATTCTCAAGTTAGCTTTCGGGTAATGTCAATAAAAAATGTATTTCAACCGTTTTACATTCAAGGTGGTTATTGCGACTATTTGGTTAAATTGAAAAAATGAAACACGGTCGCTTGTAATATTGTTATCATATGGGTTGCTTTATTTAAAGTTTTCCTTTGTTCGAAACAATTTTACTCGAATTTTAAAGAATTGAAACACATAAGCAAATTTCTTGGATTCGAAAGGTGTGACCACTGTTACAAATATCTCCGCCAATCAGGGCACAGGGTGATGACATTATAAATTGCTCTAATTGGCTGACATACCTACTAAATTTTTTTCTTGTTGAACAATTGAGCATTGTTCTTGATCTCAAGAACATACGATTAGAAATAGAATATCTATAGAATTGTATACCAATGGTATTTTGTACGATATATCGAATCATCTGACGGCTCATTGGTCTAGTGGTTAGTACTTACTGCAAATCCATGGGTCCCGGGTTCGATCCCCGGCTGAGACAAACATAGATGTGATGAGCATTTGGTGTTGTGCTTAGGTCTTGGGTGTTTAAATATGTATTTATATGTCTATCTATCTATAATATGTATGTATATCCGTTGCCTAGTACCCATAACACAAGCTTCACCAGCTTAGCATGGGACTAGGTAAATTGGTGTGAATTGTCCAATCATATTATTATTATTATTATTATTATCTACCAAGAATAGATTTTGTACATGATTATGATTCCTCTGGCATCTAAAAACCTGTGTATATATTTAAAAAAACTGGTTAAAAATGTAATACTGTATTGGGGAAATGTTTTCCTAAGCATTATTAATATTAAATAAACTAAACATCCTACTTAACGCTTTTTCGCAAATATTATACTTTGTCGCACGCGCTAATTGTCCGAGTTAGTATTTGCTACAATGCAAAATTTATACAATATGAAAATGGTATATATAGTATTGTTTAATATACACAAAAAGACACAAGAAAGTATAAAAGTACTTTGAGATTGTTAATATATTGCAGGGTTTGGACGATATAAAAATATTTATATATGTTATATGTTCCGAGTTCACGAAGAGAAGCCATTTTAATACTGTTTTTTTATTCAAACCGTGCACGCACTGCACGAGGCTACGTAAAAGATTTTTCATAGAGTTACTATGTGAAAACGAACTATATTTTTACATACGGGATACATAGTTATGTCTCTTTTTTAAATTAATAGGGTATTCATTTACAGAAGATTGGCAGAAACTGATTTTTATTTATAAGTTATTAATAATTATTGATTAAGTTACTGACTGCAAACGGTTGGGCATATTTTTTTTAATAATCTTGGGAAACATGGTGAAAGAATTTTCGAAATCGAAACTACTCGAGGATTGTGTTCATGCTAAATAAGAGAATCAGCTGTAGAAACATATAAAACACAAACAAACATTCCTCTTCATAATATAAGTAGGTATAGATACATTGAGCAGTGTTGGCCTAGTGGCTTCAGCGTGCGACTCTCATCCCTGAGGTCGTAGGTTCGAACCCCAGCTGTGCACTAATGGACTTTCTTTCTATGTGCGCATTTAACATTCGCTCAAACGGTGAAGGAAAACATCGTGAGGAAACCGACATGTCTTAGACTCAAAAAGTCGACGGCGTGTGTCAGGCACTGGAGGCTTATCACCTACTTGCGTATTAAATTGAAAAATGATCATGAAACAGATTCATAAATCTGAGGCCCAGACCTAAAGAGGTTGTAGCGCCACTGATTATTATTAATATAGATACATTGAATATATTACCTGGCATTGTACGTCACCTATGTTGCCCAAATTACGTATATATTGTAAATAATAACAATAATTTATTGCTCAAAACTGATTGTATAGAAACATGTGTTCTAAGGTCCTGGTGTAGTGAAAACTGTATTTCATGAACCCATGTACATTTACTATGTAGCGAATTATAATTAGACATATATTTTTACAGATTTCCTCGTCGAGAGCAGTCCTCAAAGCACCTCTACGATAAAGCACATTCAACTAAACATGATTGTGATACTATGTATCCAGCCTGTAAAATTGATAAACCATAAAAATCATCATATAAAATATGTTTTTTCTTAACCAAGTAGAAAGTTCTTTCAGTACCACAGCAAGTTCGTAAAACAAAAGACGAAGCGATAGTCAAACATTTTGTCAAATGGCGAGATGAATCTTGTCACGTATCTATGATTGAACTACTGATGCTGTTGAGACGCTGACCAATCACAATCAAACAAAATTCGCTTTCGTTTCGTCTTACATTCTTACCCCTAGTAAGCATTCCTGGACATACATATAAAGTTACCCCCTAATTGTAAATCTGTCCAATTGCTCCATTTAAACTTAAATTCTCATTTGTCTCTGTTCATCGCAGTGTTAATACAATCTGACAGAAATAAATCAAATAGGGAAATTTTAAGTGTTACGAAATATTCAAAATTGTGCAATTAAATATCGAAAACACCACTTTGGTTTGAAAGGCAAAAAAGATTTTTATAATTTATTTTTTAGAAAGTTTTCAATAAAAAAACGGTTGTACTTGTCTGAATTAAGGTAATAATATTCTTCAGACAGAATATACTATTTACATTGAAATACAATTGCTATAGCTTAAAAAAATAATATAATTTATGTATCAATGTGAAAAAAAGCAACTAACTCGCTAATAAATCTGAAGATCTATCGACATTTCAACATCCGTCGCAACTTTAAAATCCAAACAATCCAATCGCAGAATTATAGCTTCTATCGTATAGGAATAAGGCACAAAATTGTATACAGTGCCAAGGTGTTAACATGACTAACGTAATGAGTAGCAGCAGTCGTGTTCTAATTCTTTGATCAAACAACTCAGGTCACTGAACAGGCTGGCTTGCGATTTGAAGCGATCAGAGAATAATATTTTAGATGAATTATTGCTGTCAAATAAGGGGAAATGTACATTGTATATTATTCCTGTTCCTTTGGCTTAGTCTTATACCTATCTAACACCAAAACACCATTTTATTTAAACCAGTAGTAAGTTCAACCAAACAAAAGCGAACAAACTTTTCAGTATCATATTAGTATAGATAAATAGGAACTCAGTTTCAGCGATGTTTTGTGAACCTTATATTTGGAGTTAAAAGTTTCTTGCATTTCACATAGAGCAATTCTAGAGCTTTAAGAGTACGTCTTGGCATAAACATAAGATAGATATAAATAAAGGGTAAACTACATCTTACTTTGTTAAAGTAATAATAATCCTCGTGGCCCGTGAAGCTATGGCCAGGCATTCCAGCTATTCACTGGGTCTCGTCATTTACGCTGGAAATTATGCAGTGACATTACGAGAATTGTATAATCTGGAAGTTGTGGGTTCGATTTTCAAAAGAATAATTATTTCGAGCTTCGTAGTGTGCTTTAAAATGTACAAATGTGTTTCACACTGCTAGCAACGGCGCTCCAATCATATCGTTACAACAGTTCCTGAACAGCTTTTCATACATTATACATGTTAAGATCTTGGGTTTGTTCGAAGTACACATGTGCAGTTATGTAAATGTGAATAAATAAACACAGACGTTCTAGAGACCCTTCAAACATAAAACTATTGTTTTAACATGTTGACTCGAGAATATATTTGCAATATGATAATTTCTTTATACAATCTTATTCCTGAAGACTCAGAATTCAGTAACACTTTGCAATTTCTTATTAGTCTTACAATCTTACGTCTATGGCTGACAGGAAATACTTAAATTAACTCGGAATTATGAGAATCGATTTAATTATTTTTACTGTAAAATTTCTGATAAATCATAGATATTGTTAATCCAATTAAAACAATATTTCATTAAAATGTCTGTGCCGTATACGTAGTAACCAATATAAATATAAGATATAATTTTAAAAACTTAATTTAAAAAGCGTAACACATAACTAATTCTTCGCATTTATTTATTAAATGTGTTCGTTTGGGTTACGAACTTAAGACTTTAGGATGATATTCACACCTTTGCCATGCTGTTATTTGTAGATATAAGTTATTTAATGTCGTTTAATTACGTAGGTAAATAGTTTTATACAGTTGAAATTTTCATCCTCCAAACAGAAAGTACACTTAAAAAAATCCCGTATTATTCAAGATTTAAAAAATATTTCAACCCTTTTCAAATTCTTTATGTAACCAATATAGCATAACCAGGAATCTTACCTGCGTATTTACCCTAAACCAACAATTACACAACGGGTACAAGCTAACCCGGGTAATAGCTTTGTATATTTAAAATATTAGAACCAAACATCTCGTGACCATATACGAAATGGTCACGAGATGTTTGGTTCTTCTTGGAGATGATATGATATGTATTTGTTAAAAGTATCTAAAATGCGACTGTGTGTGCTGTTACTGCTTGCGTGTCCTGTTCTTTGTGATAATGTGACCGAACAGTGTCCAAATGTGAAGACATCTCTGGGTAGTATAAGGAAGAAACGGTATTTAGTTTTTCCAGAAGGGAGTAGTTTTGTGGTAAGCTTTTTTATTAAGACCCTGTATCAGTTATTCTTCTTTCTTCGATATTGAATAAAAAAGATTACAATTAATCATTACACGAGATTACACTAAGCCTTTAAATTTCATTTTAACTCAAAGTTTCTTAAAGGTATTCGGTGAATTGTATACTTTGACAGTATTTGGCAATGTATTAAAACTGTGCTTTTTCGTAAATAATAAAACATTTATTTCGTACACAAAAATCCATATAACTGGGTTATTGGTTCGTAAGAATTTTACTTAAGAACTGTATTAGTAATTTTAACGTTACTACATATCCAGTGCAGTCAAATCGGGCCTATCGAAAGTTTCCTTTAGAAATCTGCTGTCGTTTCTGAGGCTGTAACGGACTTTTTCGCGGCCTTTTTCGCGGTCCTTTATTCCAACAAACCATTCCCGATGCGCAGCAGCATCATGGCAGCAGCATTATAATTTTAACTTGTTTAACGCCTAGAGAACTTAAATACTAAACTGTTTATAAAGTTGCGGCTGAAAGCGGTGATGTGTGTGGTAAATTATTGACACTCGCTTTTAATACCTAAGTGTTAGCCTAGCGTGCGACTCTCAGCCCCAGATAGTAGGTTCGATCCACAGCTGTACCAATGGACTTTACTCTACTTTTACTTTATACTACTAAATATAATTCTTATGACAATATTACAATACTCAATATAAAATGAACTTGTAATTATCTGATATACCTATTTATCAAGAAGGAATAGGTTTATTAGGAAATGCAAATGCTTTCTATTAAGCGCCACCTTCTGTTGTTATAAAATAGGAAATATTCTTTCTAAAGAAATATTAATTTTAAATTTTATGAAGTATAAGCACCTTTTTGATTTCTATAATTTGCTTTGATATGATTTTTAAGAATATATTTTTACTTAAATATGACTTAATTAAATTTATAAGAAGCAAAGCCAATTAAACGATTAATTTTAATATTGATGTTTACCATTTAACATTTTATAATACGCTTTTTATTGGTGTCATGCCATCAGGGGTTAGTATTACCATTCTTGGCTAAAACATTGGTATTATTAATTTTTTCCAATTATTAGATGACAATTTCCCTGGTAAAAGCGTTCATGACGCACGCTCCATCTGGTTGGAACATAGCTTTGGAAATCGATGTGCTTTTTCCGCTACCCGATGAGAAGTTTTCCAATGAACACAGGAGGCGGAAGCACCATCGACAAAAGAAAGATATCTGGGAACGGCTAGAAAATGCATTATATTAGTAAGTATTTTTAAAGCGAATAAATTTGGTTTATTTTACTTAGAAATTATCGTAAATGGGTTTAATTAGAAATCGTGAAATTACTAAGGTCTTAAATATCCTATACAATCATAATTTAATGATGCTTCAAATGCTATGGTTCTCCATGCTTAGGCTTTTGTTCCTACTAAATATATGGTTTGTAACTGCTGATTTTATAAACATGTTTTTCACATAAGTATGAGAAAGTTCGTACTAGACCACTTACTAAGAATATAATTTTGGAATAGAATACCAATTTTACTTTAAAAATATATATATGTATAATATGTATAGAATAAAATATCTTATATATTATCTATCCCTTCAATCAAATGAATACGTAAACAACTCACTTAAAGATTTCTTGGAACGAGATCGACCCTATTCATTCCTTCCCATAAAAACCTTCTATGATTTTTAATTTCCTTCCAATTATCAAAAGAACAGTTAAACGTCTGAGGAATAGTTCAATAAGGTTCTCATTAAGGCTTCGAGATGCAATAACGGCTGAGAATCGATTAATCGAGACAAAATTGATTGAGCTAAGTGAGAAGCTCCAAGTGAATATTTTAATGGAACAAATGCTCAAGGAAAGCTTTGTAGGATTTTAAAATGAAAGATATGAAACTTTTTAATTTTGAATACTTTGTTTTAGCTACCGTGTACGTATATAATATCAATAAATTACGGAAATGTAAGTAGGCGCATAACTTCCAATAGTATGCACCTAGTTGAATTATTTTTGGTTGTTAGAAAGACAATATTGATTTCAAAACTACGATATAATAATTATAATAACTAATTTAATCCCGCCTTCTCTTTTGCCCATAAATAGGCTTCCCTTGCCGTAATAAAACAGGTCTTATTATCCTTTAAAACGTTGGTTCTCGTAAATTCTGATTTACTTATAATATTTTCAGTCATAACTTCAACGGCCGCGCGTGTGTACTTCGTTGCATTTGTGAAAGCAAGAGTCACCTAGCACCTCCCGGTACATCGCTGGTCCATGATTTACTGAGAGCTATTTTTACGTAAGTAATATATATACAATGATATAAAATCGGCCTATATCAAACCTGTTATACTAATTAATGTTGAGATAAACATCAATTCATAATTCTTATGTCGATTTAAAATAAGTAAAAAACATATTTTTACACAATAATACCTATATCTCAAAAGTTTTCGAATTCGAAATGCTGATTCAATTTTAATAGAAAAATAACTGACCACGCACGCTGTAGAGCACGCGAAACGTCGGATAAATTTAAAATTATGTTAAATAATTGTAAATTTATAATAATACATAACTTTAATCCGGTTAAAAAGTTTTCCTTTAAATGTGTAAAGGTTATGTCAATAAAAGACAATACTAGAAAAATAACTAGCTATACAAAGTGATGTAGTTGGGAGATAAAGGCTGTTAGCTATAAAGAAAAGTTCGATAGATAAGTAAGTTCTCACAAGCCATTCAAGATTCACAGATTATTTAATACTCCTAAATAGCTGATTGGTATTTACTGGTTTCTTTATAAACGTGTTCCTTGTTCCACGTGGCTCCGTGTATTCAAATTAAAAGTCAAAACCGTAAATATTTTTTAAATTTTCTAGTTTTATTCATTGTCTGTTACTTATTAGTATTATGTAAGATGATATTTCGTAGGTAACAAATATTTTTTATTATATTTTAATATTATATTAAAGTTTCAAATGGCCCTATCACTTTTGCGCTTAATATATTTAAATATATAACTGTTCCAAATGTTCTACTGTTTAAGTATCCCAGCGTAACGTGTATACTGTATACATTATTATATTTTTTGTTATTTGATTCATAATAGTATTTGTATTTCAGGGCACCACTAAAAGAGGAGTATTCAAACGAGATCAGCGATATGTACAATGAGATATTGGATCCCAACTTTTGTGATCAAGTCCACGACTGTCCCTTTTCTATACTACATTTTATATTAACTTTGAATAAACGAAAATATTAGGATATTTTATTCGTGTCATAAGATATTAACTTGTTGTATGTATTAACTTGTTGTTCAAAGGAGGAAATAAAAACACATGAATTTAGAATTACAATATAAAAATATTTAATTATTTAAATTGATTTTAAATAGGATACAATTATCAATATATGTAACTTAGAGAAGAATCGTAAGCTACACTATATACAAAAAAAAAACAATAAAACAAATTTAAAATTTTAGTTATTTCTTTGCTGCATTGCGATGCTTATACGCTGAACATAGTAAATACCAGCTCTGGTGTGATCGGGTTACTGTCGACGAAAAACTTAAATCTTTTATTAGAGGCTGCGCACTTGTACTGCTACAAATAAAAATTAATTATTACATTATTATTTTACCATTTAAGTCATTATAATCTATATTTATACCACTGAGTTTTGTCGTTAGAAATTAATTTCAATGAAAAATTTATTTTTAAAGTAATAGTTACCCTTCTCATATACACATGTTCAGTGTATTGTGTGAATATTGAAAAAAAACAAAATTTTCAAAGATCTCACTATAAGTATGTTTTCCAATTTATTTTATAGTCATTTTAGATAAACAAAGTGTAAACAATCCTATAAGTTCTTCTAATAATTCTATGCCTTTCATTAGTACAATAAGAATTATCTGGAAAGGGTGTTTAATCCATTGTATTATTCAATAATTTTATTAATTTCATTAGAATCGTGCGTCATGTATACAGTATATAATAAATATAATAACATGAAATACAATATCGAACACGAATGAAATTAACTGTATGATATTATACGCGAGAGATAGAGGAAAGTTTGAAAGATTATGTGTAATGTGAGCTTAGCGTTATACATAGGCCTTCAGTTACGGTCTAAGACATACGGAAGAAAAATCCAAACTTGCACGCTACTTTCTAATAATTTAATCATTAACTGGAATATTTTTAGTTGACCTCTAGCGCCCTTAGATGACCTCTTTTCTTGAGTGTGTCAGAGCTTAAATTTAATTATTTTATCAAAAGTAAATGATAAAGCAGAGCAGTGTTGGCCTAGTGGCTCCAGCTAGCGACTCTCATCCCTGAGGTCGTAGATTCGATCCCCGGCTGTGCAACAATGGACTTTCTTTCTATGTGCGCATTTAACATTCGCTCGAATGGTGAAGGAAAACATCGTGAGGAAACCGGCTTGCCTTAGACCCAAAAAGTCGACGGCGTGCGTCAGGCACAGGAGGCTGATCACCTACTCGCTAGATTAGCAAATGATCATGAAACAGATACTGAAATCTGAGGCCCAGACCTAAAAAAAAGGTTGTAGCGCCACTGATTATTATTATTAAGTGATAAAGCACCACGGATATGGAGAATCATGAAATAAGGACGGATCAGTAATGCAATATACATAGTATATTATACATTTTGAATAAATTTAAAATGAACTTTCATATATCACACATAATTACCAAACTAAAATCACTTATAGGCAGATTTTGGTCAATATCTAAATGCATTCCGCAATCTGTAGTCATTTGATCTATAATTTTTAGTCAGCCACATTTCATATACCTAATTGAAATATGGGGTACAGCATGCAAAAACAAAATTTTACAATAAAACATACAAAATAAATTAATAAAAGCACTATTCAGATACAATTTTTTAACACCTACTAATAAAATCTACCAAGAAACTAAAATTATGACGATTAAACAACTATATTTATAGCACCTGTATCCTTATTAAAAAATTTTAAATAACTCTCTACATATAACTTATCATTTAATAAAATCAAATACACCACTACACGCAATACTGTCAGCGAGTTTCTTATCTTCCAAGCCGCACAAATTATTTAAAGAGATCTATTAGTATGAGGGTTAATTTTTAATTGCCTCTAACTTCTAATTAGTATTATATTCAATAAAGACACAATAATATTAAAAATTTATATATTTTTATATAATTAATATTAATTTTATTAAATAAAAAATTTTTAATGAAAATAAATTCTTTAAACATATACATTATATTATACATTACTAGCTGATCCGGCAAACGTCATTTTGCCATGTATATCATTTATAATAAAAAATAGGGGTTGATCGTAGAGGGGTGAAAGTTAGGGGTTGTATGTATTTTTTTATGCTGTATCATAAAAAAATAAAAAATAAGTAATTTATCTAAAAATTAAAAAAAATAATTTAGGGGTGGACTACCCTTAACATTTAGGGGGATGAAAAATAGATGTTGTCCGATTCTCAGACATACACAATAAGCACACAAAATTTCATGAGAATCGGTCAAGCCGTTTCGGAGGAGTATGGCAACGAAAACTGTGACACGAGAATTTTATATATTAGATACATCCAAATTTCTTGATAAAATGTAAAATAAATTCAACAAAATAAAATCTCGGATGTAAGAGCTTATTACTGCTGAAGTTTAACCTTACATTACATTGACATTTTTTGTAACAAGACGTTTAAAAACCATCGTTCTATAGAAGTCGTTTTAAAATTATAAATTATAAAACCGTTGTGAGTTCTGTTTTCCACTGCTACAGGATACAGGAAGTTTGCAAACGAAAGCTGCTGTTATATTGGAACTCTTCTCCCGTATATTTTCTGTGTAAGTATTTCCCATATCAAGTTAATTGGCTTATAATCCGCGCACGTGGGGCTTATCTCCACGTGGTAAGATTATTCATGACATTCATATCGGTACTCAATATAAATGATGATGTTGATCGTGCTAATCTACTAGGATGGTATTTTTTTTTAAGAATAAATTGAGTTGATCCAACCACTGATGGTCATGAATATACGATCCTTTTGCTACTGTATTTGTAATAGGTTAATTAAAAACTAATTAAAACACTTTTGAAAAGTTAATTTAAATTCTATAATAACAAACAAAAGCTCCTTAATTACTTTTTAAAAGCGAAATATTAGAAATTCGAAATTTAAAATTTATAAAAATATATTGTACTTTTCAGTAGTTACTTGCTAATAAAATTAGTATGTTTCATCGCTCTGATTTTACTATATTATATACATAATTAAAATTATATTAATAATGTTACAGACATGTTCCTAATGTTGTCTCACGTGGTACATTTTTATTGAGTTCAATTCGACTTTAAAGCGAGTCCCTTAAAAGTAATCATTTTATTTCCAACGCCAACTAGAAGTAGACTACAGAGAGTCCTGCAGAGCCTAAGATTTATAAGGACTATATTTTAATGTTTATCGTACTTGAATAAATAACAGAGTGATAAGTATTAAGGTATCTGTTTTAAGGCAGTAAGTGTAACATCATTTTATTAAATTTTGATAACAAAAATAGTGAAGAAGTGTTTAAGTACTCGGAATTTTGATATTTAAATTTAATTGAATATTTAAATGTATAGAAATGTAAACAAGTAATTGATTTCTGCATAGATCCGAAAACTACACAGAGAGATCGAGTGGTTTTAGCAAAAATGGAACAAAACCAAGTGAACAATTCCGTTTGTCGGATTTTAGATTTTATTTATTTTTAAGAGTCACAGCAGATCTGATGAAGTTGGCACGGGTTTCTTTCAAAAGTTATTTTCTTCGGACGCCAGCAATTTGTAGTTTTCCTTGAAACACTTATCGTTTTAAACCAAACGACTGATTTTAGCAGCAAAAAGTGTACTCCGGTGCACTTTTTACAATTTTAAATGCCAATATTTTGAAGATTTTTAGCCTACTTTTGAGTTTATTTTTTTTTGCATTTTGCATTTACTATGCCGTTCTACGAGAATTTTATGGTTAAACAATGTACTTTTATAAGTTAGTATTTTAAAAGATTTATTATTTGGAGTACGAACTTAATTATAAATAATAGATAAAGTAAAGTATGTCATACATAGGCGGGTGACTGAGAACTAGTAGATATTTTATCTGCGTAATTAATTTATACATGGACTGTGTGGTCTCACAAATAAAAAAAGGGTGCGTGTACTTATGTACGCGCGTAAGAAGTTATACTTCTTTGGCATTATTTAAAAATAGTTTTTGATTGCATGAAAATAATTAGTTACAATTAAATAATCAAAGACTGGAAAAGGTGTCATTATAGTCAATAAAGTTTAGTTTACATTTGAAAAATTAAATAAATAAATATTTATTATTATTCTCTTACATTAAGTGTCACATAAATGCCGTAGCATCTTCCGTGGGCAACTTCATTCTGTTAATTTTGTGTCACGGTGCGCGCGCATCGTAAAATTTCACTCTCATCAATTTTTCATAACGCGCCTAAAGATGTATAACTTCACAATATTATTATTAATAGTTCATATGGTCAAGGAAGACGACGACTATGAAGCACTTAACGCAAACCATCTTTATGAAGAATACTTATGAAAAACAGAAATATGAGATAGTTCATTTTATTTATTTCCGTAGCACAGTGAAGTCAGTTATGGGAAAATCGACAGATGAGTCTTTATTTGTCGTGTATTAATGCAAGCATTTATTAAACTACAGTAGTTAGATAATTTCCACTTCATATTCCATACAGATCCTAGAGAGACGGTCAGAAAATCCCAAATACTCACTAACAAAGTGGATTACGTCGGAAAAAGATGACGAGCATTAAGCGAAAAGTAGCGAGACAGCCTCAGATAAAAACAGTTCTCTGTATGTTGTTCAGACATAAATCATTCAAGTAAGCTGTTGGCATTTTATCTTTGAGGACATCGTATATAAATATAAGTAACTCAATTTAGTTATGATAGCGGTACAAGTAGTGGAACATCACAATCAGAAACTGATTGTGAAGTGAGAATGTCTTTAATTATTTATTCTTTGCTTCCGTAAATTGGTCTTGGGTTCGTTAGTAATTGTGAAGCCAATTCGTAGAGTTGTACCTGTAATAACAGAAATTTATTTTGTATTAGCTTCTTATTTTATTTATCATCACTCTGGTTTTAAACCACGTAAAACGTAGTTAAAAACAGAGAATTACAAATAAT